TCCCTCCCTCCCCACATTTCTTCCATCTCTTCTTCCCTTCCTTCCTTCCCTCCCTCCCCACCTTTCCTCCCTCTCTTCTTCCCTTCCTTCCTTCCCTCCCTCCCCACCTTTCCTCCCTCTCTTCTTCCCTTCCTTCCTTCCCTCCCTCCCTCCCCACATTTCTTCCCTCTCTTCTTCCCTTCCTTCCTTCCCTCCCTCTCTTCTTCCCTTCCTTCCCTCCCTCCCCCCCCCCCTTTCCTTCCTCTCTTCCCCTCTCCCTTGCCTTCCTCTCCCTCTGTTCTCTTCTTATTCCTTTCTTTCTTTTTTTCCCCTCCCTCTTGTATTCTCCCCACCTTTTACCTCATACTCTCTTCCTTTTTCTGGCTGCAGGTCCTTTACTCGGACAGCTTCCGAAAACAGGTACAAGGCAAAGCTGCTTATGTTCTGGACACCCCTGAAATGCGGCGCGTGCGGGAGACACAGAAACACATCTCTACAGTAAGAGCACTTCTCTGTACATCTGTTACTTAAAGACTTTGTTCCTGAGATGCAACAGGGTTGCCTTTTTGGGAACAATACATGTTTATCAGTAACAGACCAGTTTTACCTTGGTGACAGCAGCTCTTCAGGAGGGCATTGGCCCTCGGCAAGGAATTCACTTGATAGTGGCAGGAAACAAACAGGACTGACATTTTTTTTTTTCCCACGACAGGTGAAATACCATGAAGACTTTGAGAAGAACAAAGGTACTTTCACACCTGTAGTCACTGACCCCATTACAGAACGTGTGAAGAAGAACATGCAGGACTTCAGTGACATCAGCTACAGAGGCATTCAGAGACGAGTGGTAGAAATGGAGCAAAAGCGCGTGGACCAGGACCAGGAGAATAATCTGACAGGTAAGCAGAAACTGCACTACTTCACTTACACAGAACACAAGGTCACCTTGAAAAGTTGTTTTATTTAAGCTCAACGGAATCATCAGTTTATATTTACCGTTAATTGAAGCTGGTGGCCTTATCAAAGCCCCCTCTGTCTTTCCCATCCATATGGCTTTTGTACAGTAGATGCCAGATTTGATTGCCATTTCTTGTTTGTATTTTTAAGCTCACCTCAAAGTGTTTTCACCACCAACACCTCTGCACTACAGCTTTGATGAGCATAAATTACCAGCTTCTGCTTTCCTTTCCCCTGTATATTTCTGCTCCCATTTTGGACCACTCTGTTCTGCTCTGGCTGTCCAGGCCATGCCTGGGCTCCAGCTCCTCAGTCATTTCTCTTGCAGGTCTTCGTGTGTGGCGCACAAATCCCGGCTCTGTCTTTGACTACGACCCTGCAGAGGACAACATTCAGTCCAGGAGCTTACACATGATCTCAGGTTGGCTCCCCTCTGTACTGTTCATGCAAATCCAGCAGGAAAACTTAACTGCTTGGGGACACTGAAGTACAGTTCTAAGGTCTTTCTCTGTGCAGGAATGCAAGTAAAGGCTAACATGCTTATTTCAGACACTACGTTAGCAGTGATTTCCACAGTTATACATAGGCACAGTTCTAGTGGGAATTAATGGCAGTGAGAACAAAGGAGAGGAGAAACTGCTCCATAGAGCTGGTTCTCACAAAGTTCATCTTACTAACTATGCAAGTGCTCCTCTGGCACAGGGCTGTATGGGATTCATAGCTCCACAGACAGCACAGCTGCTTGCCTGAAACACTTGCCTCCTTTTTAGCTCCTGAAGTGCTGTACCTCAGTTCTCTTCCCTGCTCAGCGCTTGAGAAAAGTGGGCATGAGTGGCAGAACAGCATGGGGCCATTGCACTTTGGCAGCTGACAAAGGGAGGCAAGCAGTAATTGGAGTACAAATTTTGGATACAGCAAGCACAAGGGTGGGAGAAGAACAAATCTGGATATTAGAAATAAACGAGGAACATAAGAACTGTGCTTCTTTTTTATGCTTAGCAAGGGCCAGCAACCACTTGTGCCCACCCCCAGCTGGCTGGCAGCTCCCTGCTTTATACCTCACACCATAACCAACTGGTTTTCTCCTGGCAGTCCAAGCGCAGCGCCGCAGCAGGGAACACTCCCGCTCTGCCAGTGCCCTGAGCATCAGCGGAGGGGATGAGAAATCAGAGCCCTCGGAGGGGGTGAATCAGCACCTGTCCTACTACAGCAACGAAGGCTTCTTTACCACCACTGCCACAGGTATGGGAACAAAGCTGCAGCTCCTCCCAGCTGGGGCCAGGCAGTGCCCAGCCCCTCTGCTGGGACAGGACTCACAGCTGGAGCACACTGAGTGCAGAGCTTTGGCCCTGACCAACTGCAGTTGTAGTGCTGTGGATAAAGGGCAGGTCTGATCACCTCCTGATCCATCCCAGGATCCTTAGTCAGAGCAACTGCGCTCCCCTACCAGTTCCATAACAACTAAAAGCATTAAACTGTAAACTAACCATTTGTTTTCTGCTTTCCTAGTGGGTTATAAACATGCTAAGACCATAGAGCTGCCACAACAGAGATCAGCATCTGTTGTCACTCAGCAAACCACCGTATCATCAGTTCCTTCCCACCCATCCACTGCTGGGGTAAGTAGCTCTGGGCCACTGCACTGCCCCTCCCCAGCTCATAGCCATTTGAGTGAGCAGGGCTGCTGTTCATGCAGGAGAGACTAGAAGAATCCACAGGCTGAGGTTCGCTGCAAAACCAGCTGAAGGTGCAGCAGCTCTGTTGTTTAACAGTAGACCCTTAGCTTGAAAGCTTAATCTTACATTTTCTCTCTCCCAGAGAAGTCAGACCCTGCAGCTGTGGCTGGAGCTAACCTGAGCTGACAAACTGTTTAAACAGTCGTACTCAAATACACTCTGACAAGGTCTGGTCCAGCTAAAGCACTAGAGCCCAAAGGCACAAGGTGGGGGGCTGGCTGCCCCTCGCAGGACCAAGGAGGCTGCAACTGCCTCAAAGGAATGCAAACAAAAAATACCTTACAAAGACTGGACATTCAAAATCTGTATTTTCAATATTCTGTGATGCAAAACCAGGATATTTAAGAGCCCAGCCAAAACTCCACCACTGGTGGTACTTTTCAGTAATGCCATCAGTCACAGCTTCACCCACCCTCCACGTAGTTGGACTCTGAGCAAAACCTAACAGCAGTGATATGAACAGCTCTTAATTTCCCCCCCTTTATTCCAATTCACAGAAGACATACAGGGCCATGTATGACTACACAGCAGCCGACGCCGACGAGGTTTCCTTCAAAGATGGTGACACAATTGTCAACGTGCAAGCCATTGATGAAGGCTGGATGTATGGGACCGTGCAGAGAACTGGCAAGACAGGCATGCTGCCAGCCAACTACGTGGAGGCTGTGTGAGCCACAGAGCAGCCCTCCCCAGGCACAGCCATTTCCCACTGTCAGCAACAGAACTTTCTACCACCAAAGCACTGCACTGTCTTCCATGGTGAATGGCAGTGCTTTACAAACCAGCATGGGGAGAGAAAAAAAAAAATATACATAACAAAACACTCTTGAAACTTCTTCCCTTCAAATTGTTTCTGAAAACTACCTGCAAACACCACCTGGTGCTGCTCATGAGAGCTGCCTTGCTTCTGGTGTCCAAAACCTTTCTGAAATTGCCTGCATCTTCCTTTAAGACATTTAAGCATAAAATACTATCAACGTGTTTTAAGCAATGCCAAAACCACAACACAGTTCTGTATCACTGAGCTTTTGTACCTGTACTGGAGACTATGATTACCAACCATTACTTTATTCATTCTCCCATGAGAAAAAAATCTTTGTGGGCTGTCCTGAAACTTTCAAACATGTTTGTTTCCCATGTAAGCTTAGGATCTCAAACCAAAGTTTATCTGGAGGGGAGGTGGTAAAAAAAAGGGGGAATCTCACAAAGCAAAAGCCTCTTCTGTCTGCTTGCTGAGCTCTTATGCAGGTGTTTTTCTGTTCTGGGGTCAAAAGTTGTTACTTGTAAATTAGTGACTAAATAAAGCTCATGTTTCTGCAGCATGTTTGATGCTTTACTTCACTCTGAAGAGTGCAAATTTATCTTCAAACAATCCTGCTTCATTCAGAAAGAGAGCAGATTCAGGATGCAGCAGTCCCAGCAAGGTGAAAAAGCTGGACAAACAATTATTTGTTTTGCACTGTGGTCATTTGTTTTTGGTAGCACCTGGTACCAGCCAGCCTCCAAAGATGGAAGCAGGAAAACAATTCTATCTTGGATAAAGCAAAGTGAGCTCATAGCAGGAAGATTTGCAACTTTAACCCTGAGGCCTTTGTTTAAAGAGAATTCACAGCATACTGTGGTACACACAGCCAGCTTGCAAGAGAAACATCCCTGTTCCTGGAGCCAAGAGATGATTAAACCTGAGGAAGTATATTTGGAAGCAGTTATCAGGGAAACAAGAAAACCTCCAGCCACTCACCACTGGTAATGATCACGTTAGTCCTTTAAGACTCTCTGTCTTGCTCATTACTTTCTGAGCTGCACAAACAGGGTACAGATGGGATCCTGCTGCTCAGATACCCCCAGTCTTTGCTGCCCCGCTCTGCCTGATGGCCTTCCAAGCTTCCTCCTAACCTTGAGATTCCAAAGCAACCCTGAGGAAGGGATGAACAATTTGGAAGCAATTTGTTTCATTTTAAGCTTAAAGATTAACATTAACAACTTTGGAAACTAATTGCTCTTTTATTTGCACATGTTGAAGTTCTGACACCTGGAGCCATTCCTTTCCATAAATGTCCAATATATACAAATTAGATTTCAGGGGTAAAAACGGAGAACTCTGAAGGTCTCTGAGAAGCAGCAGTGCATTCCGTGCAATTAAAAACCATAAATTATTAACCAACATTTGCAATCACAAGCCTATACATAATATACAAAGAACCCACGTCAAATTCATTTATTTCCACAAAGGGAAAAGGGTCTTCTCCATCACAGGAGAGCTGCTGCAAACAAAGCTGTTAGAACACAGGAAAAGGCCAACAAGTTCTGCAAAGTCTCTTGCTCACAGTGTTGCTTTTGTCATCAGCTGCAGTGTGATCTGATAACAACACACTCTGTCCTGCTGTCAGCAGGGAACTGAGCACAGCTGACCTCAGTACAGAAGTGCTGAAGGGTTTCAGCAGCTCTGAAGGAAGCAAACATGGGCAGCACGAGAGCAGAGCAGTGAGAGCCATCTCTCACCATACAGATGGAGTTTACAGCAGTAAGAACACTTTTTGGATTTGAAAAAAATAATTTAACTACTCTGTTAGTTTGGTTTCACAGTCTTTGCTATTGCACAACTTGATCAAGTTTTCTTTCACTACCTGAAAGAGATATGCATAGCAATGTAATAGAAATCTCTCTAATAAACTATCCTACAAGTTAGAAAAAACAAACGGGAGAAGTAAAGCATGATGCATTTTGATCAAATGGGTGTTAAAAAATCTTCTATAGTACAAAAGGTACAGCTCAAGGATTAACTCACCAGTAAGAAAACTACGCTTTGTGGAACAACTTGTAACAAAATCCTCCTTACTCAGGAATTCTAAGCAACTACTCTGCACTGTCGTGGGGTGGCGACGTCCATCGGGACCGCAGGGTTCTCATGATGCAGTCTGTCATGCTGGCAAGCTTCTCCTGCATCTCAAACAGGCGGCTGCCGGGGTAGCTGCGGAGATCTTGGGAGGTGAACTGGGCAGCCAGCACTTCCAGCTGGCTCAGGAGATCTGCAGGGGGTGGGCTGCTGCTGCTCAGGGCAATGGGCTCACCCAGATCTGCAAAGGAAAGCAGGGTGGGCAGTCAGGGCGTGGGGTCTCAACCGCGGCATTACTGTGCCACAGTGGGATGCTGCAGGGTGTTCTGTATTAAATAATACATTCAAACAGTCTACAAAGCATCAGAGAGACAGAGCTTCTGACAAGGGCACCCCTAAGGACTAAACACTGCCTCTTCTTGATAGGGATTTGCATGGTATTTGATGAGGGTTAGGTAATAAAAATAAGAAGAGACGTCAAAATAGTGTTATTCACACACTGCCAATGCTCTCTGTTATCCCAAGAAAGTCCACTTTAAACCACTGACTGGAGTCACTCTTGAGTTCTCTGTCCTCTGGTCAACCAAATGCCTCAAATGTCTTAAAGGAAAAACAGATTCCTCTGCTAAAACTGTAAAGCCAAACCCCAGAATCCCTGTAAACAAAACAATAAAACCCCCAGGCCTCAAAATCCAAACTGGGTATCCTGGGAAACAGCCAAAACACCTGCAGGCATCTCCTCAGCCCCACAGTCCCCTTTGTTCCTGAGCACACCCAGGACTGCAGCAGGACCTGCAGCATCACACAGCTCAGGAGGAGCACGGGCTGAGATGTGCAAAGCACTCAGAGTCCTGCTGAACACAGAGTTCTAGAGAAAAACAAAGCACATCTTGCCCTCAATGGTTTTAAAAAGTTCCAAAATGCCATTACTGGAGGGCTTCAGGATGTGATTAACTCAACTCATCCCTTCAGACTAGCTAGCAGCTTCCCAAAAGAAATCAAGTGTTCCATTAGCAGGGAATGAAAGCAGTGACAGCCAGGCCCTAAGTAACATGCAGGCAAGTTACCTGTTGCAAGTTTTTCCTCATCCCCAGGAGGAGATTTATCCCCTGCACTGTTTACTGTTCTCTCCACATCTTCGAGAGCTCCAATTTCTTCACACCCTCGAGATTTTACCTGAGAATTTCAAAGAGAACAAAGATGTTCAGAACTACACAGCAGGATGTGCTTTAACTGTGCAACAAATACAGCCATTCCCACTGTGAGTGCCCAAACACTGCGCCCCAAATGCCCACCTCGGGCAGATATCACAGCTTAAAGTGCTTTCACCAGTAAGAAAAATACATTACTCGTGATGAGTGCTTGTTAGTAGTTCATTAAGTTACTTCTGGCTTCTTGGGAACCAGGATTAATTAAGCTTTACCTGTTGTTCATGATATCCTCTAAGAGCTTTTTTAACGTTGGAAACTTTAGGAGAACGGATGGGAAGAGTTTTGATTTCTGATGCTGTCAGAGTACTGAGATCTCCCACTGTCTTTATGTTCTTGGCTCGAATGAGCTGCCCCAGACCTCTGGCACTGCAGCAAAGAAAAGCTGGTTAATTAATTAGATCCACCTCCATCCTCCTTGGTGCAGTTCAGCAGGAAGTGCTCTTACATGAACGTCAATTTACATCCACATAAATAAAGGAAAACAAAATGCAAATGACATTTTTGTTTGCGGAAACACACCTTCTTGCAATGTATCCAAAACCCATCAGAGAGTGGTATTCTGAAGGCACACATCAGTGGAAAGAAGCAGAATACAGCAGGAAAAGGCCATTCAGGGCACTTTCCAATACAACTCTTTTTTTGTCACCTGGATTCAAATCTGAAGACACACCAGCTGAGCTCCTGGTGTTCCTATGGTTGTAATGCAGATCTTAACCAGGAATCCCACTGTGCCTGCAGTCCTGCAGTGCCCCCAAGCAGTACTGGGATGGCAGCACCCTCAGCCATCCCCTTTGATACAGTGGAAGCTCTGATCACTTTGTAACAGATCATTAAGATCCATCTGCTCTGTCTTGCAGGTAAGTTTGGTGCAAACTTTTCACAGCTTTACCTAAAGACCACTGGAGTCATTCCAAGGTTGTTGGGAGAAGAAGCAGGGAATACAGTTTTGCAAAAGACCTCCATAGTTTATCATTTTTTTGTTGCTGTTAAGATCCAGTAAAAACTCAGTTTCCATTAAATCACGCTTTCCAAAGCAGCAAGGCACTTACCATATATTTGATGTGATCTGAGGTAAAATTACATCAACGGGTGCCTTACACCCAGCTAAGGCAGGATACACACATTCTGTAGGGGAAGGCAGTGACTCCTTCACCATTTCTGTCATCTGAAATAACACAGAAAAATTATTAGATTAACTGTCACACAACTGAATACAAGAAAGTAAGAAACGTGAACCAAAGCACTTCTTACTAAACACTTCTTTGAGCTCTTAAATTTAGGGTTACGAGATCCTGGGGACAGAAATCCTTTGGTTGGAGTGGTAATAGGCTGGATAGAAAAAGAGGAAAAAAATCTCTCAGGATTGTAAGAACTCAACCAATTTTCACTTTCTAGCTACCTAGCTTAGAGCATGTAGGCCTGCAGAGCAACAGAATGAGCCACAGAACAAACCAGTTACAGCTAGTTAAACTTACCCCTGTTCTACTCTTTGCTCTTACAACTGTTTGCAAGGAACTACAGGCATACGTTACAGCTGGCTACGTCACTCTGAGAAACTGAAGACTAATGCAAAAAAAAAATCTGAAGTTACCTTAGTCTGAATATTAGATAAGATTTTAAGACTTCGTGAAGACGGTGAAGAATGGGATCTAATGACAGGACTTCTCCTGTCTATGTCATCAGCCAGTCCTTCTTGATAAATAGGATTTGCAAAAGAGACCCGACGAATCTGTTGTCAGAGAGAAGTAGTTTTGATAGCATGAACCACTACAGTCTGCTGAAGGGAGTCCAGAGAGACAAAATCACTCCTTTTGAAATGGATAGCCACTGAAATTCCTGAACACCATTCACCCAAGGACAGAAGCCACAATTACAACGGCTTCTGCTGAAGGAAACATTCTGTGTTTCCCAAAAATGCATTGGTAAGATGCTGATTTCGCAGTGGCATTTGTTCCACTGCAACTCCTGCAGGCAGAGCAGCCATTGGGGCTGTTCTGAAAACAAACCTCCCAAGCTCCTAGTAATACAAGCCTGCTGATGTCTGTGCATTACAAAAATATCTACAGGCCCTTATCTTCAGCATACCTTCGTTTACAAATGAAAAAATTAAGTTGATAACTGCAGGTATTTGGAACTCACTGCACTGCAAGCACCGTTACTAATGCCTTATGAACAGAATGAAATGCATTACAGAACAAACTGCACAATACCTTATTAGCAGGTGACAAGGAATCATCTTCTTGGTGCCTTTTTACCCCTCTCTTCAAAATACTGGTGGATGGAGAAGCTGAAGGAGACCACGTGCAGCGTGCCTGCACTCCGCTGGGGCTCTCATTAACCGAAATGAAAGAATTCAGGCCTTCTGGCTTCTGAGGAGAATCTGCACTCTGATTTTTTACTACATCTTCGTTGCCTACAGCCATGTTCTCAGGCCCTGTAATCTCAGCTTCCAGCAGTTCCTCTCCCATCTCGTTATCTGGAGTAATGCAAACTTCTCCCAGGGCGTTCTCAGCTTTCTCCTTGCTGTCCTGCTCGCTTTCTAGCTCATCCATCTGCTTTGTCTCAGGTTTGCTACCACCAGCCAGCACCTCAGGCATCTCCTCCATTTCCCCATGCTCGCTTTTTTCTTCTATTTCTCCAGCTGCCTTTTCCTCACTGTGATCCCCTCCAACCACAGAGCTGTCACCAGGCTCATCCGAAGCACGCTCAGACACAGACACACACTGCTCAGCTCCGTCACTCTCATCATCAACTTCTTCTTTCACTTTTTCTTCCATTACAAGATCACTAATTTCACCTGCTGTATGTGCTGGATTCTCTACCTCTTCCTCCATAACACCACAATTTCCTTGCAGATGATCTTCACATGCTCTCTCTCTTTCCAAGCTCGACATACTGGAATCCTTAGGAGGAGGCAGCGGGGTGCTCATGGCACAAGGAGTGATGGACAAACTCTCCTCCAGATTCGAGCTGCCAGACACCTCTGCTGCACTGACAGCTGCCTGACCTGGAGTGGTCTGGGGCTCAATCAGTTCACAAGGATCCTCATTTTTTGACTCACTGAGTGATGTTTGCTGCTTCATCCTTTTCGAGCAGCAGTCGCAGCTCTTTACTTTTCTCACCCTTTTGCTTCTCTTGTGCTGACAGTCCTGCATTTGTGCACAGGAAAGGTCACTCCCTGAAGCATCTGCTCCTTGTGCAATCTCAGGCTGAACACTCAAATGCTGTTCCACAGATCCTTGCTTTTCAGTGCATTTATTTTCCTCTCCTTTCAAACCTTCATCAGACACCTGAAGGTCACTGGAAGATCCTGTCAACATACCAGCTTTGCTTTGTTCCACGCTTGCAGTCTGTGTATTGGGTGAAGTCTTTGAGCTGGCAGACCCCTCAGCATCGCCAGCATCTGCAAGCAGTACTTGATTTTTCACATCAGATGGTGCAGGCATCAGTGCTGCATCTGTGATGGCTTCACTGCTTAATTCGCTTTCATTCATCCCCAGTACATTCTTACTTTCATCTGCTTGAGAAGACACCTCATGATTTTGGCTTTCTGGCTGGACATCCTTCCGTTTACCTTCAAGAGAATCACTTTTATTTTTTGTTTTTCCAGATTTTTTCTTTAAACTTCCCTTCTTGGTCTCAGAGCCATCAGCCTCTGCGTTTTCTATGCTGGAAAGCAATCCCTGTGAACTCCTCCTGGTGTGGTACCGTGGCCTTTCCCTTTTCTTCTCACCTACTGTGTCTGAGCTACAGTCCTGACTTTCCGTGTCATTCTTCAATGCATCTTCTGGCTTCCTAGCACTCCTGTTGGCTTCCTCATTAGCACCCTTTGGAGCAGAAGGCTCCTTTGAGCCCAAGTCCTCTGCAGCACTTCTCTCAGGTAGGCCACTTTCTTTTTTGACTGCATATTCTGAAGCTTTCCCACAAACTGCTTTTTGCTTCTGAGATGCATCCTCTTTAGTCTGGGGCACCTTCTTTTGCAGAGCTTTTTCATCTTCTTTACGTCTGTCTTTTTTTTGGTAGCCATCTTCCTTATCCTGACTACCTGCTGCCAGTTCTGCATTTTCCGACCGTCGTCTCGAAGAACGTCTCAGTATTTTCTGACTCAGAGATGCATGTGGGCCCTGACTACCATCACCTGTTACCTGCTCAGAGGACACAGCCACCTTCGGGGGTGTATTTTCCTTAGAATCCATTTCAAACGCCCGGACCTTTTCTATTTCTGCTATTACACCTTCAGTTTTTTTGATTTCTGGCTCTGCAGAGCTGACAGGTTGGGGCTGAGCAGTGAGAATACGCTCCGTGTCTTCTACTGAACAAGATGATTCAGGACTATTTTCCATGCTATTGGAAACAAAAGACTCCTGTGCACTTTTTTCTTGTTCTGAGCTAGTTAACACCTTGGACTGTTGATTTCCATGCTGTTCCATTTTACTCTGTCTGCGTGTCAACCTTCGTTTCGCAGCAGAAATTTGCTCAGCTTGTGAAGACTTTTTATTCTCTTCCCCAGACTTCCCTGGCTTATGCCCAGTCTTGCATATGGTTGTATTTCCGTGTTTATCTGGCACAGGAGCACTTCGAGACATCCCTGAGGCACTGTTTAATGCTGAAGGGCTGAAGGGCCTGCTCTCTGAACCATCAAACTTCTCCAATGTAATAAAAGATTGCCGCCGGCTCACAGGCTGTGGCGTTCCTGAGATCACATCGCTTGAAGCAGAACTGCTACTGACATTAGAAGTGTTTTCATTCCCTACTAAGGATACCTGTGAAGCTGCTTCTGTATGACTTTTTTCTAATCCCTCTCCAACTGATGGCTCCTCTTCAATGATTCCAGTTCTATCACCCCTTTGCAATTCTCCTTCGCTGTTTAAAATTGAGTTCTTCTCTATGTGAGCAGCAGAGTTCTCTTTCACATCCTCCAGTGAATTTTGCAGTTTGCAGTCCTCCGTGACTCCATTTGAATCAGCAATACAGCTTTTACTCCTTTCGTTTTCTTCCTGTTCCAAAAACAGCAAATTCTGGTTTTGCTATTACATAAAAAAATAGTTCTTCAGATTGCCTTATGATGTGCCAGCCCCGTTGTGTCCCCCAGCAGAATCACAGCAGAGCTGATACTGGCAGGGCCCTGCAGACCATCTGGGCCAACCCCTGCACCAGACCTATCCTAACAGCTCCACTCCCTTACACTGGGGATCCCAAAATCAGCCACTCCAGGTTTTCTCCTCACAAAATGCTTCTTTCCTTTACAAAATTTAATGCTTAAACCCCCTCGAGCCCTTGCAGCTTCAACCAAAAGCAGTTCAGAATAAGGAAGCACAGCTCAACTATTTAAAAGTACAGTTACCAAAGTGTGACCACTCAGTGTGTGTGTATACATTGTATACTTTGATGTCTGGGAAGAGTTATGGGGAAACAGGAAGTATTCAAATTACATCTGCTGGCAGGAAAGGTTATGGAAATAAGTCAACAAGAGTAGTTTCCTAGCTTAGTGCTTCCACAACAGCACTGCAGTAAGTCACAGCTCAGTCTGTGCAGCAGTTAGTTCACTCTAAGTCCCACGATACCTGCAGCCCTGTAACAAAATGACTTCAATACACCCTTGTTGAACTGACCACATAAATTCTTGTGCCTTGAAATTAAGTTCAAGTGTTTAATAAGAGACCCTTTGTTACGTAAAGTAGAACACAGCAGAAAGAACACTGCAAACAGTACCAGACTGAAAGCTGTCGATGAGAATGATACAAATCCCAAGAGCTACCAGTATATGCCATGGTTATGTAAGCCTGGGCCCTAACTATGCAGAAATGGAGCAGACAGGAAGCTCAGGAAACAATGCATTCTGCAGAGCCTTACAGGTTAATCAATATGGACAATGAAACTATTATTGTCAGCAGATACACCTGGGTATGTTCTGTTGTTGTTTTTTTTTTAATTGCTTTTCAAAGGAATCTAAAAAGGACTTATTAATCAAAGACAGTAATCAAGGAATTTTGCCATTACCAGAGCTACCCTTATGAAAAAAGCATCACCAATACGGTTGTAATTCTGATACCTTAAGTCCCATTGACATTGAGAAATTACCTGAGGATTGTTTTTAATATCTTCTTTTGCATTTTCTATTAAAGATGACTTTTCCCTAAAATAAAAGTTAATTAAATTAGAAGTGCTGCAAAAAAAAATAAAGAAAGAAAGAAAGGGGACACCTTTAATGCATACACCAGCCCCCCTTACTTACAAAGAATCTTCCTGGCTCTGAGTATATTGAGAAAATAAGGTGGTATCTTGTGATGAGTCTAAATTGTTGTACATAGCAGGAATACCAACTCTGAAACAAAACCAGAAATGATTAAGTTGGAATATTAAAAAAAAATACATTGGATGAGAGTGGGTATTATGATGCATCACAAGACAGCAAATTCTCAATATGAGGTTGACTTCTAAACTCTTAAGACTACTCAATCAGCAACATGCATTACAGTATGGATTGCTGTAAAAGAAGCAATGCAGCATGTACCGAGTATCAGGAGACTCTGTAAGCACACATTCCACTCCACACTCTGGAAAAGAAAAGACACAGTATTGCTATCTGCCACTGCAACCTCACAAACCAACTGGAAAAAGAAACAAAGTGGACGTGGATCACCGTTTATCCCCTGAATTGAGAACCACAGTTTTCACCCGCACCAACTTCAGTTCCAACCATGCTTATGGGTGTATGTGTGGCTAATGAAGAGCTGTGGGCAGGATCCCACTGTGCAAGGGATCCATCAGCACAAGCTGACCACTTAGTCCAGCTGTGTTCCTGTAAAACACAACTGCACATAAGGTTTGCTTGTACTCTTTTAGGGACCACCTGCCTGAAGATCCCAGAGTTATTTTCTTGCAGAAAAAGACAGGATAATTCTAAGATCCCCTTCTTACTGACTTTGTGGAATATCCTGATTTCCTATACACTGCTGACATAAAAAGTTCTCTTTCAGAGCTAAGAGTTTTTCCTGCAGATCAGGTGAGAACCCTTTTAATTCCACAAATCAGAAAAATGTCAGCTTTAATTCACATTGCAAGAGTCGGGAGGTACAAACATGCTCTGTTATCTGTTTGATGCTTGGAGGTACATTTAATTCAAGTAGGAAATGTAGAACAGAGAATAACTTGATTGCTTTAAGACAGTAAAGCAAGGAACTTTGTTAGCTCTAAATGTTTTAACTTGAAAGGAAGACAAGGAAATAATTACACACAGTAATCTGAAATACAGGAACTGAAGTTATGTCTATTTGATGTACCTAACAAAACGACATTTCACATTAAAGTTTAAAAGAATGAATGACAAACCTCTTTGACCTAAGCACTTCTTTTTGATGTTCTGTCAATACCCTTGCTTTTGTTTCTGGGGGAATGAATACAAAATCAACAGATTTCTCTTCTTCCAGAAGTACGTCGCTTTTAGGCTTTGAAGCTGAAAACTCCAATTTCAACTACAGGAAGATTAAAAAAAAAAAACAAAACAAACTGGATTAGAAACAAAGTAGTGGAATTGAAAACTGCTTCGTAGTTCAGGTAGAGCCATTCAGAACGAAACAGCTTTCAGATCAGCACAGTTCTCTCAGCACGCTGAATCGGCACACGTCCCTCAGTAGATGCTGATTGCATTGAAAGAACATGGACATGACTTAAAGATGCCAAAAACAAGCCAGTATCATTTCTTGTTCTCAGGCATATTAACCCATTTTGACAGCTATTAACTGCAGAGGTAGGAAGGAATGTAAAAGCTCTGTTTGAGCACGATCCCTGCCACCTTAATCTATCAGGAGCTGCTTTATCACTGAATATGTGGCTAAGCAGAAAAATCAGTTACATCACAGTGGTGCTGTGCATGGCTGTAATGATGCCTGAAGCACTTGCTTCCTCTGCATCAGCATCACACAGAAATGAATATACCAGTGTTCACATGGAGAACAGCACATGCCTGCTTAACCACCAGAAGGGAACTGTGCAGTTGCAATCAAATGGCAAAGTACTGAATTTCAATAAACTCCCATACAGTGAAGCGTCAAGACAGCGGCCTTCCAGTACATGAAGGGAACTTACAAGCAGGAGGGAGACTGACTTCTCTCATGGTCTGAAGGTGACAGGACAAGGGGGGAATGATTTTAAACAAGAAGGGAGATTTAGGTTAGACGTTAGGGAGACATTTTTTACTCAGAGGATGGTGAGGCACCGGCACAGGCTGCCCAGAGAGGCTGTGGATGCCCCATCCTTGGAGGCACTCAAGGCCAGGCTGCATAGGTGGCAACTCTGCCCATGGTAGGGAGTTGGAACTAGGTGGTTTTTAAGGTTCCTCACAACTTAAGCCATTCTATGACTCTGTGATCCATCAGGCAGCCTTCCATGATTCCTCCTTAAAACACAACCTTTAAACTTACTAGAGAATTCAAACAAAAAAAAAAGTAACAAAGTATGCTCTACAGTTTGGTTTATAAGGAAAAAAAATCAAGTAATTTATTAATTCTAACTCAAAATGCCCAAAAGAATAACAGATTTTGACTGTCACATTATCAGTAAACATCTCACCTTCGCAGATGAGACTTGCACATTATCAGACTTGTCCTTTACTTCATTTTTTAGTTCACTTGTCTGGGCCAATATAGAGTCTCGTTTCTGACCCAAGTTTACTTCCATTCCACTCAGCTTTGCATCCCATTGGGAGTTTTCTGCCTATTCAAATAAAAATACAGTGAATACATCGTATGAAGCAACTTCAAGCTCAAACCCACCAAGATGTATTCATTACTACAGCTGATCACACTCATTTTCATCTAAAGTATGTAGAGAACTTAAAAACATCATTTTGAACAAGCTCATAGAATTCCAGATTCAAAATGTATTAACTGAGGCAGTTCAGTCTTCTGTTGAGTGTTTACATACCATGGTTTACCATCGGAAACATGAAGTAATTGCAAGCCAATTCCACTAAACAAAAGTCAAAACTGACCTTTGCAGTACCTTCTGAATAATTGCCAAGACATCACACACAATCAAACATCCACAGGGGTCAACAAAATATTTACCTCATCAGAGAATGGGCCGCTTTGTTCGTCAGCTATCTCAATGCTTTCAAAACCAGGCAGCAAGAGTGGCATTTTCTGTTTGGCTTGGCTTAACACAGGTCTGCTCAACAAAACAATTCAGGCTTATGAGAAGCGTGCAGTAATACCAGCAGCTACCCCAGCTGTCAGTACAGGCAGAATGTGAACTGTACCCATAACAATGCTAACGCATGGTGTGTAACCTGACATCTCTTTCTTGGAAGTATTACAGCCCACGGCTGTAGGATTAAATTAAATCAGTCTAAAGATAGGTGACTAGGTATGTAACAGGAGGGGGAACAGCTATTTATGAGGGTGGATAGTGATAGGACAAGGGGGAATGGTTTTAAACTGAGACAGGGGAGGTTCAGGTTGGATATTAGGAGGAAGTTGTTCACACACAGGGTGGTGAGGCACTGGCACAGGTTGCCCAAGGAGGCTGTGGATGCCCCATCCCTGCAGGCATTCAAGGCCAGGCTGGATGTGGCTCTGGGCAGCCTGGGCTGCTGGTTGGTGACCTGCACACAGCAGGGGGTTGGAACTGGATGAGCACTGTGCTCTTTTGCAACCCAGGGCATGTGATTCCCTAAACACTCTTCCAGGCTCTCTAGAACTACATATTTACATCATCCTTCATAAATAAGCAACATACTACGTTTTCTTTCCACAATCATACCTTCACTAAGTGTAGCTCTTACACTCAGAGAAGACCTGCTGAATGCTGCAGTGCCCTTTTTACACTTTGCTCCACAACAACTCACACACAATGCATACAAAAACAAAAGCACATCTTACTTTAATTCTTCAGGGTACGTCAGTGATGCAGCCTTAGCAAATGTTGCATTCCAGAAGTTGGCACACTGTTTGCGTATCTGTTTGCTCTTATGCTGAAATACTACACAGAGCAATGGAGAAAGCTGCTCCAGCAGCTCACTGTCATAGCTGCCCGTGCAGTGGGACTGTAAACACAGGATAATCTCAGCCAGGAGTTTTTCAAGCTGAGGAAGGGAAGAAGCAATATGTGCATATTTTTTAGGTTTTCATTCAAATATTGCACATATTCTCTATTTAAAGCTTGTGATTTAAGACAGACAGCAGGCAATCACAGCCTGAACAAACCAATTTAGAAACCACCCCACAGAACTAGTCTCTCTAAAGCTCACGTTCCCTTGTCTTAGTTACTGCCCCAATTCAGCATGGTTTAAAAATTAAATCTCTACCTTCACTGTAATTTTGTTCAGAATCCAAGATGAACAGAAAAACCTCCACACAGCCCCTGTATCTCCCCAGCCCCAATTACTTCTCTACCAAACTCACCTTGCTGTTAAGATTACTGTATGCTTTAGGTACATCAGCAAGCCTGCCAAAACAAAAAAAGGTATGACATATTTTGCTCTCATTTACCCCAAGAGTTAAACACAGACTCCCCAGCACTGCACACTGTGTTTTAATACACAACTCAGTGAAGTAATGCTGTGAAACAAACCCACTGCACTATTTTTAAGTTGCCTGAACTAAGTATTCAAAGGTTATCTTTGAGCTTCCACTGATAGATGCTAATTTTGAGAAGAACTAATGCAAAGATTAACAATTAGTACAAACTTGTAATTACAAATGTTGATTAATAGCAAGTGTTGGGGCTTTTTTTAGGACGTTGAGGAGGCTTCCAAGTCTGTATTTGTTTTCATATGCCTTCCCTCAAAAAAAAACCCAACCAAACAACCCAATGCTCACTTCTCCTATTTAATGAGTAACTACACAAAAGATGACACAAAGCAAGACAGATGAGATGGGAGATGGAAAGGTGGTGTTCAACCCAACCTCACAGAGGAACAAATGGATTTTTGCTGACAGGGACTCAGATTTTAGAGTACAGCAGTAGCAGCCCTGCTTCAAATGTCAGTTAACAGCCACAAAACCACATTTACAGGCTGAGCAGAAGCATGCGACCCTACCCTCCCTCTTCCCAAGAGGCTGGAAGCTGTACTGCATTCATCTCCTTATCCTGAACAAAGTCTTCACACCCTGTATCATCTACAGATCAGAATCTATCCCCTGGCAGCCCTTCCCACCAAGCCCATCCTAGATCTCACCCTGTTCTAGGAAGAAAAACCATGAAGGATTAAAATAAGAAAACCCCAGATCAGAACAAAAACCAAAGAAAACAAACACACAGCAAACAAATATTTCTTCTCTCTGCTTAAAAGCTCGTGATTCTACTGCACTTCAACTAATTCTGATTGAAGTAGAAGGTGCCCTGAAAGCTGTCAGACTTCAAAGCTGAAAGTCCTTACTGTCCTAGCATCAGCCTAGCACTGAAGCTTTGAAAACCCTGAGCCATGTTTAAACACACTGTGTGCTGCAGACTACACAAAGTTTCCCAGCTATGCAGCAATGCACTGAGTTCAGTGTTCCAACCATTACTGAAATACTCACTTTGTTTTCTCATAAAACACTGCCAGTGGTTTTGAAAAAACTGCAAACATGGTCCCTATCACCGAAGGCAAAGAAACGTGGCTGATGATGTTGTGAAGAACAGCAATAACTGAATGACCAACAGATGCCAACGATTCTGGGCAGCTTTCTTCAGAACTGAGAGCATGAAAGGAGTCCAGTAACATCACCAGGAGCTTGAACAGGGAGGAGAGCTTCCCAAGGGGCTCCCTTTTCTTCTTAGACCAGTCAGTAGGTGTCTGTGGAGCTAATATCAAAAGATGTATTTTTTCCTATACAACCAACACACATCACAACAAAACACAGCTTAACTTCCCTTCTATATGGGAAACATGACTTTGATTCCTAAACTATACCTACATAGGAAGTTTTGAACCAGATCTAAAAGAAAACATACATTTCCCAGTGCATAACTTTATCATACTATTACAGACACAGCTCTCACTCCTTTTATTTGTATTTACTGCTCACCCTAATGACTGTTTTTAAGCATCTTTAATGCTTCCTTGCAGAAGAGCAGCCACACCAGAGCTGTTAGCTACTAGGTGTGAATTCAGACAAGGGGGGAGGAGAAGGGAAGCTACCAAGTTTCACTCAGAGTGAAGTCTCCATCATATTTTTGCTCACCAGTGTCCCCCATTGAAGCATTTCATTCTTTCAGCAGCCCAACATTATGTCCTATTACTTTAAGCTAGGGCAGAGAAATCATGAAAAACATGGAGTTTCATACTGAATTTATTCATTTTGGAAATCAGTTCTTCAGATTTTTTTGTCAATTCCTTATCAGCTACGATGCAAAGTGTATACTGACTATTGATACCCTACAGCCATCACTTCCACCCACATTAACTCTAAATTCCAACCAAACCAGAAAGAAACCAACAGAAAACTCCAAGGATTCAAGTATTTACTTACATCTATTTTTTGGCTGATATTTAATACCATAGGGTGAAAAGTTGATGCAGTCCACCATAACTGCCACAACGTGGGTGAGACCATCCAGCATTGCAGACATCTGAGGAGGAAACAGAATTCATCAGCAAAGCCCAGACAAGCAACAGTGGCAGTAAAACAGTGCTGGGTACAGCAGTGCTAAATAGCTTTTAGGTTTAAAAGAAGGCATGAAGTTTTTGTGCATTTTCAGGTGAGACAAAGATCAGCTTGCATAAATGTATTATAGGACAGACTTAAGATTCAGACTTCCCACCCTGTACAAGTAATACTAAGAATATATATAATCTAAGGAAGAGAAACAGTAACAGGCAGCTATAAGGTACATAGGTCAATATTAAGCAGAACGTGCTACCAAACCTCAGTGTGCCTATGTTCAGCCACTGGACTCAATCTGATCTTCAGGAAAGTCACTGTAGCATAGCAGCAAGATTTTCATGGAAAGAACTACATTGAAGAAGCACAAGCCATTGCTAGTGCATACAAAGATCTATTTTGAGTTTTTCCTTCCAGTTCACCTCAACCCCTTGTAAATAATAAAGAACTCCACTTGCTTTTACAAGGGAACATTGAGGACAGGAGCCAGAAAAAATTTGCATCACTGTAACTTCCATATTGAAGCCCTCCATTCTTCAAGTTCAGCCTAATGAATCATTTTTGAGAACTGAGTTTTATCACCAGGATAGAGCAGCATCAAATGAAAGCTGGTGTTATATTCCAAAGCTAATATTTTCAAATTCCATTTTCCTCTTTGTTTCTTCTTTTTACAGTATTTTTTTCAGAAGATGCTCCACTTGCAATCACAAAGGACTTTACCTCCTGAAGCCAATATTCATTGACACCTACAGTCACTACTTCTCCACAGCGTGCCTTTGCGCACGGGGAAGAGGTGATGCTCCCTCTTCCATAACCTTTAGTGACAAAGTCTACATTTTAGCATGCAAAGCTGACATTACCAGAGGCACAGAGCAAAAGATGCCCCCTGAATGCTCCACTATCCTCCTTCCTCACCAAAACCCCTCTGTGGATTTGTTAATTCAACCTAAAGGCACACCTTGCATACTAAACTTCAACCAGACAAACCACATTTACCAGAACTATGACATTCACCACACCAGCACTACTTAAATGCTTAGAACCCAAAGACTCAACTCACTGTAAAATTCAAGCATTATTTTTTACTTCCTTCTTCCAATCCATTTCTAGTTCAGCTCCCAGTAGTAAAATGAAACAGCTTCAAGCCAGACACAAAACACTTTACATTACAGCAATGACTCCATTAAAGTTTACTAACAGATTCTTGCACAAGTCTGTCACTTAAAACGTTTGCTGAAGTACTTCTATAGTTCAATATCACTGGTTTATACTCACTACTGGAGTTTCACCTTCTAGCCCAGATATTATTTTGGCACACAGTTCTTCACAGCACAGGTTCTCTTCTGCTGTTGCAACCAAAGCAGCACAGCGAGCAAATGCTCTGTACAGGTCTGACCAAGCACGAAGCAAGGATTTCATAGTTGGCTTTAAGAACAAAAAAGAGTAAGTCTGTAAATATCAACTTCTGAGCACGGAGATAAAGACTTGCTTTAAGTGTTCTACTGTCAAAACTTGAATTCAATCTCAGAGCAGTGGTCTAATGTATGTGCATGCTGGTAAAAGCAGCTCCACTCTGAGATGAGCTAGCACTTAGCAATTTTAATATAACCCACACTGCTTCTGATCAGCATCAGTATTGACAGTTACCTGGGGAAAGTCCTGAACAGGGAAGATATGGGATACTGGTAGCAACAGAGCATTATAGACAGCATTGAAGTTGTGCTCCAGAGCGTCACCTTGATTTACTTCGTTAGTCTGCAAAGGAAAAAATGCACTGGTGAAGCAAACTACAGAACTTGAATGACAAATTATGTCACTCTGCATGCATTTGTTTGGAACATGGAAGCTGCACAAGCTAAATAGCCAACTGTGTGTGTTTTTAAATTGGCTACCTCTCTGTTCAGAGCTCATGTTGATCTTACTATTCAACAGGCAAAAAGCATTTTAAAGAAATACCAGAATAACCCCTTAATCTAAGGGAAGAGAGTATGAAATTGCATGTTTTATCTGTTTCTCCTGCAGTGATGCCTACCTACAAAAGACACCTAACATAGCTTGACAGACACTCTTGAGACTTCTACATCCCTTGACTGCATGATGGTTAACTCAGTGTTTCCTACACTGCAATGTACTGAACCTGCTGGATAGGACTGCTGACATCACTGCAAATATTTATACTAAGGCTGCATGCATTCCAGTCCCATAAACAGCACCACAGCTTATATAATTTTATGATCACAACAAGCACACCAAGAGGAATGTAAGCACAGAATTTAGCAGGCTGTGTTTTGGGGTATGGGAGAGTGCTGGGAAAGAGGACAGAAAAGTCACCATACCCGATTAATCCAGTCAGTCAGTGGGCTAACAACAATACTCCACATCCTCCAAAGATGCTCCTTGTTTTCCACCTGCTTGGCATTCTGATTTATAACACACAGCACAGATTCACTGAAAGCCAGTGGAGATGTAGGCCCAGACAAAACATAGCGCATGAGAGTTTCCAGAATGATGAAGAATCTAGGGATGGAAAGTTAAAAAGGTGAGAGACTTCCTCAGCTGAAGTTAGGAAAGGAATTCTAGACAGTCTTCAACTCTAAGGGACCTTGTTATTGAAACAAAAACCCTTAAGAAACAACACATACCTCTCATCTGTCACACACCACTCCAAGAGGTTGTTATGGAAAGGCAGCTGAACTAAGAACAAAGCTGGTGTTCCCTTGTAAAAGGAATTGAAGAGGTCAAAACAAGAAATACATCGATCAAATGAAACAGCTGTCTCACTTCAGTGTGCATGCACCTTCTGTAAGCCAGGAATTTACAACTGCGTTAACAGTTGTCAGAAACTGTAAACTCTAACACTTCAAAGCAAAAAAAATTAGAGGCAAATGCTGGAGAACTAAACTACTGCTCAGAGGGGATTGTGAGGGAAGTGCAGTCATGCTACAGCTGAAGCAATTAAACACCTTCAAAAAGCTACAGGCTTTGCAGTACTTAATCACTGTGTCCTTGACACAGCACCTGAGGGTAGGTGTACATCATGCAAGCACTGCAATACAAGTAAGAGGTACAGCTCTGATCAAGCACTCTGCACAGCTGCAGGCACAACATCCAAACACCTTGAACCATAAAGACAGACAAGCAAGGATGCCAGACTTACATTTAAAAGATCCATATCAGCAATCTGATAAGCTGGTGATCCCAATGCTTTGGGAGGTAATTCCTTCACAGTAATATCAATGAGGGACTGAGGTAAGGAGGGGAAAAGAAGAAAAATGCCATTATGTATTTTTTTCTTTTGAGGTAACTACTATTTTATGCAACACCACAAACTACAAGCCAAATGGTAACAACTGCTTCCCTTTAGGAAAAGGACAAAATGCACTGTAAAAGCAGCAGTCATTTAAAACAGAAGGTGCTGCTAAGTCACATACCCACACTCAACACTGCTGCCAAGTCTGGAAGACACTTCTTAAGAAAGAAGCCCTGAAGGAGCACTAGGTCATTAGATCAGAATGGCATGACTTACAGTTCACACCAAACATATGGTCCTTAAGAGGCCATTCTGATAAATTAATCTCATAAAAGATGCAAAAGACTACCACCAATCAGAACACACAGAGAATCAAATAGAAATTAGATTGAAAGAAGTAAGAACACAGCCCCAACCTACCAGTGCTTTCTGTGCAGGAAGAGAATTTGATCTAACAATGTTCTTTAAGGCCTGGAGCAACATAGTCAGCACTTCTGATCCTTGCTTTTCTTTCTTATTACCTGGAATAAAGTGTAGTTATAGTTAGAGCAGAACAAAGTAATGGTCATCAACCATTGTTTAAAGCTTAAATGCAATGTATTGTAGGACCATAAGAAATTCTGTGTGCATTTATAAACATATATCAGGTACCAAGTCTCTCTGAAAAGCAGTGTAAGCAAAACATTCCAATTAAGCAATCCCTAATTTTTTAAGTAAAATGGAATTAACATGAATGGAATCCTGCTATTAACATTCAACTTTGACAAGTTAAAAAAGCAGCTGATATGTGAAGTTTTGGAGGCACCCAAGCAACACACAATTCCTGAATGCTGTAATCATAAATAATATGAAACACTTCACTGTCAAGACACTTTAAACAAGAGCTTGTATTTATGTATCTGTAAAGAGATTACAAGATAACAATTTGCTACAGAACAGAAAATGATTAGGGAAAAAAGAGGCAGACAATCACCTAACAAGTAATTCATACTACTGTGAGCAATGCACCAAATACTGAGGAGTGTTCTTAATACTAAAGTCCTGGTGCAGAATCATTTTTGGAAATGGAAACTGGTTTTTTGTCAATAAAAGAAGTGCAAATGCTTCTGTCTCAGTGCTAATGGAACACAGCTGCAGCCATGTGCCACCGTGCCTCCCTGATCAAACTGGTATCAGTCTGGATTTGGGCACACAGATGAAAGAGATCAGTTGCAAAAACAACTGCTGCTGATGCCTAAAAGCTGCTGTTACCAGCAATGAAACAAGCATTTCTTAAGGCCAGCAGTAACATAAAAAAAAAATACACTTCTCACCTGATTCAATAGCTGTTTTCACATGCCCATTTATGTCCTTCCAGATATTATTCAGCATAGATTCTACAAGATAACAATATTTTTATTAATTTTGCAATGAAAACATTAAGGAAAGCTTAAATACACACTGGGTTAAACCACTGATGTGAGCAGGAACTGAAATAAGCTTCAGAACCAAGTTCTATTTAAGCAAAGTCAGCAGTGGAATATTACAGAAAGCAAACATTCCTTCTTTATGTTTTCCTCCCCAGCATCATTTGAAGAAAGGCAATAAAATCTCACCACTAAATTCTTACCAGGAACTTCTTTTCCAACTGCAATAAATCCATCCTGAACTGCATTTATAAATGTGCTGGCGTGCTTACAAAAAAAGGATGGGCTACCAATCAGGGGGTGCTGGAGAGGCTCTAGGAGGAGAACAAAGCCAGGTCTGTAAATCTGTTATTTCACAGCCTACCTGTAAGATAAGCCTTAAAAAGAAAGCAACTGTGTGCATACTTAAAGCTTTTCACACAATTAAAAGCAACTTCCAGTATGCAAGATGACAACAAACTCTTATAAATACTTCAAGTGTTTTCTGGATGTCTTTTTAAATCCAAAGTGATTCATTTCACATTATGAAAAAGTACATTGAAAAAACATAACTCATGTACCTAAACTGAGCACAAGTTTGTTTTGCTTTGCAAAATCCAAAACTTCTGGTCCCATCAAGAAATGAAGCAGCATTTCAATTCCCAGAAGCTGAATGGAAGGAATTGCCACCGGTCCTGCAGTACTGGAATTCAAGTTCATCCTTGGTGTGGCTGGACTTGCAAATGGATAAGGACCTAAGGAGGGGGAAACCAAGAATAAAATGCCTCGTATTTCATCTATAGTCAGTGAGAGGAAAGATCCAGTAGACCAAAATCCCACACTAGTAACAGGGGTAAGCCATAGAATCTGGAGGGACCTCTGGAGTCTGATTTTAAGCAGGCACTTCTATTCAAAGTAGCATTTAACATCCATTAATAACCACGGGTTTTAAAAGTACGTGTCTTCCAAAAGCTGCATCAAAGCCAAAGACATCAGGGTTGGTTTTGGCAACAGAAATTGCCAGGGTACAGAGCACATTAGAAACACTACACTACACACACACACCTGAAACACCCACACAACGAATTTGAGGCTCCTAATTATGGCAGTCTAGAATTACATAAGCTGAATGCTAGGCTTTCCATGCAGAGGAGAGGCAGTTCCTCATCAGACACTTCATGTAAAGCTCAGTTAGTACGACTTTACATGTACTTACAGTAAGTTATTGATATATTCAATATATCAATGATATACTCATGATCACTGTTCAGAAATAGTGCTGAAAACGTCCCAGAACTGAGACTGGGACAGAAAGGGAGCACTTAGCAACACAAAAAGCAAAGTTTCAACTCAAAGCTCCTTTGCAAAAGTGAGTGCAAACTGGGAACACACAGTTTGATGAGCATGATTTTGTAAGCATGGGATGCTGCCTGCAACAGCCTCAGTTTTAACCAGTGTAGATCACCATGTCTGGAGATGTCTGCATGCTCATCTCAGTAGCAAATCAAATGAAAAAGCACAAACAATACACAAAACACCTCTAGCTCCTACATTTAGGATACAGGTGAAACAGGCTTGTCCTTCCATACCTGGTTTCTGTGGAGGGTTTGCTAAACTGGGGTTGGATGGCACACGTGAGGGAGTTCCCTGTAGTGCAGCAGAAGAATCTACACTTAGAGTGCTCTGGATTAATGGTATGCAGACCTGCAAAGATACCAAATCCCAATGAAAATGAGTATGACAAACAAGCCAGAAGCCAGAAAGAACCCATGTACTGTGATTACCAGACTGTACTGCTGCTCACAGCATCAGTTTTCAGTGTGCTTATAATGGTATTTCTAAGACAAGTAAACTGATACACAAATGGATAGAGAAAACAAAAATTATTGAATTCATGCTAGAAACAATCCATCTGTACTCTGTGTAAAAGTAGGTAATTTTTTTTTTTTCTTTAAATTTACTCTCATCCTGGATTTGTTAAAACTCAGAATCCTGGTAGAAACATTTTATTCATTATAATGTGAGTGGTAATGAAACACCTGGGTCATTTTCCTATGATCTCTCTCAATATTTTGTCATCTTTTCAGTATGTGCTTCCTATGGTGGACTCTATGAGCACAGTGAAAGAACAACACAGCCCCCATATAACCTGCCCACGTTTGTTATTGCTGAGCACCAAGTGCAGACTTCTACTAAGATGCCCTTATCCATGCAAGTCCATTACCAAAGTCTTTTAGAACTGAAAAGACAACTGTAAGCATATATAATGTGCTATTCGTGTGTATAGCACATACCCACAAGGCAGCCTTGGTTCCTTAAGACAATTTTATTTTAATAATAAATCATAGAAGGGAAAAGCAAGTACAGAAAAAGCTATGGTAACAAGGAGCAGACTTAGCATAGTTGCTTAATTAATGTTGAGTGTGCAAAACTATGACAATGTTCAGCTTTACTACCTGTTCAAAGTTAGCAGGCAGCTGAGGTCCCAGCCTCATGAGTAGATACCACCAGACCTCCAGCTTTGTCAGTGCCAAAGCCTCTGTTCTCACATGGATTGAGCTCAGTGGCTGCATCAGCAATTTCAGCCTTTTAGCACTGCACAAAATATCTTGAAGGAGAAAAAAAAATAAAAAGGCATTTTAAGCAACGTAATTAAAAGATTCAATTGCAAAACAACCAGAATGAAACTTTTAAGTTCATGTTCCTTCTTAACCTTTTAGTTCAAAATATAAAAACACATCTCAGAATTAAAATCCTTTGTGACCAATTGATCTTTCAGACCATTTTACTGCTGAGTGTTGTCTGGAATAACCTTGAAATTAGAAGGCACCTCTTCTGCCAGTCTGAAATCTACTGAATACCAATTTAAGCAGAAGGAAGTTCACTTTTGCTTGTGATGTTAAAGAGTAATATCTATCACTGGAGAAGAAATACACAGGCTCAGAATGCTTGGTTTTAACTGCAGAATGAGTATGGCATACTGAGGCCACAAGTGATCCAGAACTGAGGCAGAAATAGCCTAGCATGCTTAGACATACAATTGCCCAAGCCTAAGCAAGCACTCAGAAAAATGCTTACAGCTCTGCAGCATCACAAGCTGTCTACCTGCAACTTCTACCAAACTGCTGACAGACTGCTTTCACAGCATGCAATCCTTATGAGCCATGGTGAAACACTCCACATCACAACAGTGTTGCTATATGGATGTTATCTTCTGCTAGAACCACGTCTTTGTCAATTCATCTACAGGAACAGTGACCAGATGGAAAACAAATCAGTACAACAACTTCAATTTGTCTAAACAAAGAACTGTTAGCACTTAGCTGCTTCTTCAGGACAGAAAGTACAATCAAGGTAAATATTTGGGGCGTTGTGATAGATGCTGGACTTCTTTTGGTCTCAGTCACACCTTTTCAATAGATGTCAAAAGGTATTTTTTTCTTCCCATCTTCAGAATACTGAAGAACTGCTCTCCCCAGTTAATCCATGCAGCACAAGATCAGATATGCATGATTTTCATCTCCAGATCATTGCTGACAGTTTGGCTCAACTGAAGTGTTACAAACAAAGCTATCTAATTTTATCCACTTCTCCTAGTAGCAAAATTAAGTTAGAAGTAGTGATCAAAAACTTTTCCTGATAGCATATATTGCTACATTCCTACCACCTTATATATGTAGTTTTGACCTCTAAAAAACAAGGAAACACTACCATAGAATCACAGAATGGCCTGGGTTGCAAAAGACCTCAATGCTCACCCAGTTCCAACCCCTGCTGTGTGCAGGTCACCAACCAGCAGCCCAGGCTGCCCAGAGCCACATCCAGCCTGGCCTTGAATGCCTGCAGGGATGGGGCATCCACAGCCTCCTTGGGCAGCCTGTTCCTGTGTGTCTGAGGAAAATACATACTCTTCCAGTTACATACAGTGACTACTCAAAACAATTCAGGTTAATTTTTTTTTAAACCTACCTGGATTTAGAGCAAAATTATCTATTAGACTCTTCCATGCAATGAAAGCTATTTTCTTGACCACTGGTGAGCCACTACGGAATCCAAGTTCCTCCAACTGCAGCAAAGAATTGATGAAACTGCCACTACGATGCAGAGTCTGAAAACAGAGGAGTTCACCAAGTTACAATTCATGCTGTCAAGAACACAGTCAGAACTCCTTAGAGAAGCAGAGCCACTGCTTTTCTGCTTACCTTCCCAAGTAACTTGACAAACAGCGGCCACAGCTTTAATACATACGTCTCATTTTTTGTAGAAAATAATTTCTGAAGTTCTGAAATTAATTTCTGTAGATAGAAAGGAAAATTTATAAAAAGAATACATTCAAATCATTTTAAAAGCTACACCCGCAAAGCAATGACACCTGCAAAGACACAACCAACCTGTTATTTCTAGATCAGAAATCACTTTGTACCACACAGCATTTGCTGTTGAGTCAGTCAAACGCTGCTGCCACCTGGTTACCTTCTTTCTTGAAAGGAAGAGCTGGCTGCAATTACTGATCCTTAATTACTTGTAGCCTCTCTAACTTGTTTAGCTTGATGTAGGGGACGTGAAAATGCAGTTCATCACTTACAGTTGGAAGGAAGAAACCAGATCATGCAGTCATCATGGAATCACAGAATGGTTGGGTTGGAAGGGACCTCAAGGATCATGAAGCTCCAACCCCCTGCCACACGCAGGGCCACCAACCTCCCCATTTCACAGCAGCCCAGGCTGCCCAGGGCCCCATCCAACGTGGCCTTGAACACCTCCAGGGATGGACGGGGCATCACAGCCTCTCTGGGCAGCTGTTCCAGTACCTCACTGCTCTCATAGCACAGAGCTTCCCCCTGACACCCAACCGAAATCTTCCCTCCTTCAATTTCAAACCATTTCCCCTTGTCCTGCTGTTATCTACCCTTGTAAAGAGGTGACTCCCCTCCTGTTCATAGGCTCCCTTTAGGTACTGGCAGGCTTCAAAGAGGTAAGTGAATTCTCTTTAAGAAACAAGTGAAGCGTAATGATGTTATTTACAAGCTAATGCTGTCCAGACAGGTGTTTAAACATTTTTCCTCACCGATAACTGTCAGAAATGGTTTTCAGTGGTTGTATTCTTACCTTGTTATTTTTCTGTCAGAACTGCTGTCATCATGAAGTTGCTGCCAACACACAATGGCAGCAAAAAGCAACTCTCTAGACGAGACATACCCTCACCCCTGATCACTACAGCTTTTTCTAGACAAAAGGCACAGCACTTCCACCTACCGTGGTCATCAGATGCTCAGTTACAGCTGCCACCTCCTGCTGTTTCTGGAGCAGCAGTGGCATGCCTATCTCCAGCGCAGTGGCACCTCGTAACTGCACTTTGTGAGCTGAATGGACAACCAGAGGGATGATCAGCTTTGCCCACCTCACAGCCTCTTCTCCCATCTGGGCTGGAGCTTGCTCCATTAAGCTGGAATCAGAAAGCAAACAGACATATTGTTCACATACCCAAAGGTAGTCTTAGTATAACCAATTAATGTTCTCGTTCAAATTCTGATGTACAGGAAGTCATCTTAAATAATTCAACCTAAAACTGCAGTACAGAGGTGTATTTCCACCTCCTCTGAAGGAGAACTGACATTGCAGCAGTCCTTCCTGTTCTACACTACTTTTTGGGCATCTGAGCTGAAAGGAAAGCCAACACAAAACACGTAAAAAACAAAAGAAAGCATCATTAAGTGTAGTGCTGCACCACTGAGTGTGGTGTTCTCCACAAACGACTGTAATATGTCTCACATTTACAAGAGGGTGAAGTGCAGATAGCTGAAAAAGGACAACAAAACCAGATGATAATATCCAACTTCTGTGCTAGAGAAAACTGATGTATTAAGTATAAAATAAGCAAATAGTTACTCAGACTGTTTTGCTTTAAATTGTAATTGCAGTTCAAGTCAGATGAGAAAGTGAATTTCTCCCCTCACAGAGATATGATCTGAACATACTCACTAATTAAGTAACTAAATGAAGGCAAAAGGTAACAATTCTAGCACTGCTGACCAAAACAGTGTGCTCAGAGGAAAAGCCTGCTTTGGAAGTAACCAGTGCTCTCATGTTTTTAAGCAACAAGACATTTTTAAACACAAACCCATTCAGTGGCCAAGAACTTCCCAACCATGTGGGAAATGTAAGAACATAATGTAAGAAGGGCCCAACAGGCTCTGGAGATGATTCTCAAGAAGCCATTAAAAATAAAAGCAGAGAAAGTTTATCTGAATATTGGCTGCCTTCTGTGTTAAAATCAGCTGTCACCATAACCATAAACAGAATATTTTGCAAATGAAGCAGTTCAGAACTCACGGGAAAGAAACAGAAATGGTAGTTTGCACAGTTTCACTGCTCTACTGATTGTAACAGAAGATAGGACAAGGGGGAATGGTTTTAAACTGAAACAGGGGAGATTTAGGTTGGATATTAGGAGGAAGTTTTTCACGCAGAGGGTGGTGAGGCACTGGAACAGGCTGCCCAAGGAGGCTGTGGATGCCCCATCCCTGCAGGCATCCAAGGCCAGGCTGGATGTGGCTCTGGGCAGCCTGGGCTGCTGGTTGGCGACCTGCACACAGCAGGGGGTTGGGACTGGGTGAGCACTGTGCTCCTTTGCAACCCAGGCCATTCTATCATTCTATAAGTTGCAGACACTGAACATTGAGAGCCACCAAGACCTGGTTCCAACAGTTCCCCAAACAGCACACGGTCAGCCGTTCCGCACTGCCCACACGTACCGTATAACAACATTCAGTGCTTCATACTCCACAATCATAGACTGTACATCTCCTTTAGTAAGTATGGTTTCCAGTGTAGAAATAAGACTGGACACCTGAGGAAACACAAGAGACCTCAGTATGTAAATACAGATATTAATGAGCAGCTGGAATCACACAACTCCATTTCCCATTTTGGAGCTCTGTGTCTGGATTACAACAGCTCTGGTTGTAAGATCAGAGCTCCAACCAAGCAGGAGTGTTTGTAATGTTTCCCTCCCATGCTGCTTTGCTGGTCACAGAATCACCAACACTGCAGCCTCACCTTCAAAAGCAGCAAGTTTTCAGCTTTTTTGCCTCCATCAGAAAACCCTTACAATTCTTCCAAGAGCTTAAGGCCCACACTTCCCATCAGATTCAAAAGCTATTGAGTGCACAGTAACCAAGGGATTGCCAGTTTCCTCTCCCTCACACTGGGGGCTACAAAACCATTGAGAGACATACCTCCTTTTTAATAATGTCAGAAGGAAACGTCTGCTTAGAGATCACCCAAAGTGCTCGAGTGCGAGTGTTTTTGTCTGAAGTCTTCACAGCAATGCTGTTCAACGTGGAAAGCAAATCTTCTACTTCAGATGCTGAAAGCAGAATGCAGCCCTCATTGCTTATATACTTCTTGGCAAGCTTCTTTGCTCATTTAACATTACTAGAACATCTATTCAGCTGGTCTGAGTGTGACTGAATGCTCTAAACGTTGTTTTCCAGTAATATTTGGAGTTTCTCTCAAAATAACTTGATAGAAAAGCTCAGAATAGTAGTATCTGTATGTATTACTACAATATGCTCTAAATATGGTATCCTAAGAAATCAAAAAACCATAAAGCTAGGGGACGAATCCACCTAAAAAGATCTAGGACTGAAGATTCAATACTAAGTTATTCTTTTAACTTTTAACTTTTGGGATTTCAAGTGAATACAGCAATTCTTTGTAAAGTCAACTTTGCTGCTGCACTGGGGTATTAAAAAAGCCACTGAAGTCTACAAAAAGCCTCACTGGAGTCACTGCCCCTGGAGGGGCTCAAGAAACATCTGGATGTTGCATTGAGGTTTAGTGAGGAAATACTGATGGTAGGTGGAGGGTTGGACTGGATGATCTTGGAGGTCTTTTCCAACCTTGGTGATTCCATGAAAGCCAGAGCTGAGCTAACAGTGAGTTTATAATACAAGAGTAACACCAACACAGAACTTACATGCAACTAGGAAGATAGATGAAAAACATGCATTTCTTTGAAATTCATCATTAATAAAGCCTAATTTCTTACCAATTTGGCCCTCTTGGCTAAGTGGCCTCAGATCTGAGAAACATAAGGTCACACACTCTCTCAGTCAGAGCAGGTACAATTTTTAATCCTGTTTCTCTGACTCACCGCCTACTTTCAGGATCTAACAACCTCTAGCAAATTTGACTGCAGTTTACCAACTTGTTAAAACAAACAAACAAACAAAAAATGTATATATATATGAACAGGGGAAAGTAAAAGGACAACACTGAAAACGTGCTCTGATCATCCATTGGATTTCATTCCATCTTCACCTTCCACCACAACACAACCAGCCCACCTTCTGCAAACCAATGCTCAGGGCACACAGCTGACACCAGGCTGCTCCTCATCACATCTTTGGAACTGCCCAAGGAGGCTGTGGATGCCCCATCCCTGCAGGCATTCAAGGCCAGGCTGGATGTGGCTCTGGGCAGCCTGGGCTGCTGGTTGGTGACCTGCACACAGCAGGGGGTTGGAACTGGGTGAGCATTGTGCTGCTTTGCAACCCAGGCCATTCTAGGATTCTATGAACTGCATACAGCCAAATGAAAGCTGCAACAGGTAACCCCCAAAGCCCATCTTGCACAAGAATTAGCAAGCTCTCATATTGCTCACCACAGGGACAAAACTGATGTATCACTTGGGAACTGTAAACTGCCAAACTTAAAGCATTTGCTAACAAAGAAATAAAGAAAGGACTATGACACAGATACACCTTACATCAGCAATCGCACTGAAGTTCATTCGCTTACCAGATAATTCAGAGGTGATCTTTGAATTAAAAACACAGAACCCCAAAGCTTGTAATGCTGCGTTACTCAGCTCTGAATTTTCACTACTAATGTGTGCCTGGAAAAACAAGAAAAGGTTATTTTTAATATATCTGTGTGTGTCACAAAACTAGACGTAAAGCATCAGCTGTCTCAATACCAACAGTTGTGCTGAATGAAGAGAGCTGTCAAAAGATAAATGCCTGATGGAAAATGTAGGAAAGCTTTCCTGTTTACACACTCCACCAGATCATTAAAACAATCTGCAGTTCAGATGTTCCTGTTCTCTGCAATTCGGGCATCCTTACTAAGTATGCATTGGCATCACAAGTTCTGTACTTCTCTGCTTGTTCACATACTGCCACCTGACTGCCTTAAAACATCTGAAATGTGGGGGAAAAAAAGGTGACCACAGTCCTTATACTAATCTACCAAAAAGAATAAAATAAAACGACCTGTAACAGGTAATACCCAAAGCCCATACTGCACAAGAATTAGCAACCTCTTATACTGCTCACCGTAGGAACAAAGCTAATGTATCATTTGGGTTTGTTCTTGGAGTAAGCAGTGGAAAATCTAACAGGAAAGACATACCTTAAATATTCTGCAAAGCTGAGGAAAGTGTTTTCTGACTCCCACAGTGAATTCTTTGCCTTCCTCACCAGACAGGCGGCTTTAGGGGAAGAGGGGAAAACAAGCAATGCTTTTATGTTATACACGTTACAGACAGCAAAACTTTAAACTTCCAAAGCCCAACTCGTTGGCTGGCCTGGGAGTAGTAATTATAGAGCTCCTTCTTCCCATAGGAAGCTCGAACACAGGAAGGTGAGCAGCACAGAGGGGCCGCACCAACGCTGTGAGCACCGACCTACCAGGGCACAAAGTGAGGAAGAGGGGAGATGTGAGGAAGAAACCATTCACTCATAGGGGCTGCGGCCCCAGCTGTGTCCAGAGCTGCAGGCACCCATCCTTGGAGGTGCCTGAGGCTGTGGATGGGAGTTGTAGGAAGGAACGTAGGGCCATTCAGAGGGACCTCGACAGGCTTGAAAGATGGGCCCAAATGAACCTGATGAGGTTCAACACGGCAAAGTGCAAGGTTTGGCACTTGGGCCAGAGGAATCCCAGGTATCCATACAGACTGGAAGGACTGATACTTGAGAGCAGCCCTGTGGAAAGGGAGCTGGGGGTCCTGATGGATGAAAAGCTTAACGTGAGCCAGCAGTGTGCTCTTGCGGCTCGGAAGGCAAATGATAGCCTGGGCTCCATCAGAAGAGGGGTGGCCAGCAGGGACAGGAGGTGATTGTCCCCCTCTACTCTGCTCTTGTGAGGCCCCATCTGGAGCACTGCATCCAGGTCTGGAGCACCTAGTACAAGAAATACAGAGAGATGTTGGAGAGGCTCCAGAGGAGAGCCACAAAGATAATCAGAGGACTGGAGCACCTCCCCTATGAAGACAGGCTGAGGGAGCTGGGTTTGTTCAGAGTGGAGAAAAGAAGGCTGAGAGGTGACCTCATTGCAGCCTTCAGTACCTAAAGGGAGCCTACAAACAGGAGGGGAATCAACTCTTTGAAATGGCAGATAACAGCAGGACAAGGGGAAATGGTTTGAAGTTGAAGGAGGGAAGATTTAGGTTGGATGACAGGGGGAAGTTCTTTATTATGAGAGTGGTGAGGTGCTGAAACAGCTGCCCAGAGAGGCTGTGGATGCCCCGTCCACCCGTGGAGGTGTTCAAGGCCACGTTGGATGAGCCCTAGGCAGCCTGGGCTGCTGTGAAATATGGAGGTTGGTGGCCCCGCCTGTAGCGGGGGGTTGGAGATTCATGATCCTTGACGTTCCTTCCAACCCAATCATTCTGTGATCCTGTAAGATCCCTTCCAGCCCAGACACTCCGGGTTTCTGCGATGCTAAGCACAGCCACCCGAGGACGCAGCCCGACAAACCCCGCACGCGATATCCCAGCCCCGGGCGGCTCCCGGGGGCTCCGAGCAGCAAGGCGCAGCACGAGGCCCCTCACCTCCGCGCCCCCATCTTTAAAAGCGGAAGGACCGCAGCTCAAACTGTTGAACCCCGGCTACCGCCCGACCGGAACGCCGCTCTCCGCCCTCCCGAGGATCCCCATCCCCGCGTCCCTCCCGGCCCCGCGTTTCCGCCGCTCGGCCGGGCCGCCCCCCTCAGGCCGCGTGCAGTCCGCGCTCACTTGACGAGAGAAAGATGCGCGTCCGTGAGGTCCCCCGCGGGGGCGGCGGGATCCTGCAGCGTCTCGAGCAGCGGCCGCAGCCCGGCGGCGGCGCTCATGGTGCCGCAGGGCGGGGGCCGGGCCTGCAGCCCGCTCCGCGCACCCCGCGCCGTCTCTCCGGTCAAGATGGCGGAGCGCGCGGAACGGGCAGCGCGAGCGCGCGGGCTGAACGCTCTCGGCCAATGGGAGCGTGGGGGAGGCGGGGCGGAAGGCCGAGCCGGGAGCTGCGAGCGGCGCTGCGCGCTTTTCTCCGCGCGCTTTCTCCGCGTGGAGAGATCGCACGCTTCCCGCGCCTTTCGGGGCCCGCCTCCTGCAGCGCTGATTGGTGGAGGCGTCGGCCGTCGGCGGGGCCAGGCGCGGGGCGGGCCGTGCCGCTATGGCCGTCGCTGCGGTGTGGCCGTGCCTGCAGTGTGGCCGTGCGGGCGGCTGTGAGCTGCTCGTTTCTGACTGAAGGTAACGGCTGTTTTTTCAGCTCCGCAGAACCCTCCCCGCGTCCACCCGCAATTCCTTGCGGCTTGAATCCCGGGGGCTGCGCTCTGCGGTTTCCCCGTTCGTTTCCCTGCTCACGCACGGTCGATCCAGCCCTGTGCTGGTGTGAGCTGGAAGGCTGGGATGTTCCCCCCGGTACGAGCTCCAAGATGGAGTAAATTTAACCAGCTGAGTTGAGATAGCCCTCAATAACGAAAAGAACCCATTGGAGGCTATGGGCAAGGTTAAAACAGAGGTAGCTTTAATGCTGCTTCAGACCGCGGGATTTAAACTGAAGATGAGAACAAATGTGGAGTAGTTTAGCAATTCAAAGTAGCACAGTCTTCTCAAAACTCACGTAAACAACACACAGCATCACAGTGGTGTCTTGCAAATGGATTTCTTGGCAACAATTCCTTCTGACGCTCCATCTCAGCAAGTCTCCCATTCAGTTCTTCACCACGTGCAATGGGACAAGATAAGAGACTTGGCCACCTCTTCTCTGCATGAGGAGACCCCAGCAAAATGTGCTGCGTGATCTCTGATCCATCCCACAAGGAAATGACTGGTATTGCCATGGATCCTGTGCTTTTCACGCTGCTGCACAACCTTCAGGCTCCAGTCAATGGCATGGGTGGCTACCAGGCCATCCACAGGATGAATTCACGTGTCTTTAGAACAAGAAGACTCTAAAGGCCTTTTGAATTCAGGGGAATGAGTTAATAATAATAAAAAAATAACAGTCTAAAAAATAAATATGTGAAAACCATGGAAATAAGGACTTAATAATGGAAACATTGCTTGCACAAAAAGTTTGTTCAAATGGTGCAAGAGGTGAGGGAAAGGAACACTGTATATACAAAAATAGTTCTACAGCCTTTGGTAACAATGAATTTTTTTTTTTTTTTAACAGGACTTGTCATCTAAAAATACATCTTATAATTTATTTCCTGGTATACTTTGTTATCAAAACTGATAGACAATAAAAAGTCAGAAAGATATGAAGAAAATGACCGTATGTCCCTGTCTGATCTGAAGAAACAGGTATCTGAATTGGGTTCTAAATGTGTTTCCCAGTGAGTGGACCATGCTGTTCTGCTCACATAATGCCAAACTTTCCTGATAAGAAGTTTGTTCTTCCTTGGGAGGTCGTGTTCTTTGCATCCCCTGCCTTGGAAGGCACGTCCATTGTAACATACCTAATTTGAAACCCACCAGCAGTCACTGAGGCATCTGACAGAAACTTCAGGGTCATAACATTGCCTGGGACAGGAGAAAGAAAAACAAAGGTTATGTTTTGGTTGCAGCTCACCTGGGGCTTCCTGAGGAGCCTGAAACACTGAGCTCTATGCAGCAAGCTACCTGGTCTGCCTGCTTTGGAGCTGCAGGCTCCAGAGAAGTGCTGTTCCTTCAGCCCCATTGTCTGTAGAGCCCACAAGTTGATAAAGCTTTGACAAACACAGTGCTTTTTGCACAGCGTTTCCTGTCCTTTAAAAGGCTTTGTTCCAGCTATGCAATGTCACAATGCTGCTCAGGGCCCATCTGTGGGCCCCAGCCCATCCCAGTGCCTGTGCTTCCCATGCTGCAGCCAGCAGCTGGCTCCTGTGGGCCAGGACATGGAGCCTGTCATTTGATGAAGTCAAAAGCTTGATTCATTGTCATATTTCTAAATAGCATCACCTTATATAGTTATTTGGCAGTTAAGTTATACTTCATTAAAAATAAGTTTCCCCCTCACCTATTAACAACAATGCTTTAAGTAGTCTAACTCAGAACTGCCATGGCCATCCTGGCTTTGCTTGACTGATGCAGTCACCTAATTTAAGAAGGGAAGACACCAGGACTTGTGAAACAGCCACAGAGCCTCACAGATCTACGAGTGACACTTGTTTTTCCTTTGTTTTATATTTATTGTTTTGCTCATGTTAATAATCTCACTCCATTGTAATTTGTTTTTCCCTGGCACTTTTCACTACTGGGAACTTCTCTTTAAACAGACAGATGGGATAATTTCTATAACCAGCTTTGGAGCCATTCTTGCAGTCCTTACTCTTCAAATTAGAAAACGTGATGCAAGAAGATTGCATGCACAGCTGAGACAAGGTCACTGATGGCAGGTCTGCTTCATGAAGCTGCCCATGTGAAAACCCCTTGAGTGTGCTACCTCTGCAAGGCCAGCAGGCTGCTCCCTGCTCATTCTTCTGACTTATTTTTAATTTTATTCCATTTAAAAGTAACTGCATTGGTGAAAGAGCATATGGGCTCTTTGGAATAGCATCTTGGGCACAAAGCAGACGTTGTTTCTTTGGTCATCTCACCCATTTATGACTAGAAAGTACGGATAAAAGTTCATTTGGGCTGATTTTTTTTTTTTAACCAGGAGTATAAATATGTTACCTGTGCTAATGATATCATCTGGCAATTCATCTCCACAAAACCTGGAACAAAACATATAAATAAAGTCATGACTAGAGGACACAGCAGCAATGTCCTGCTCTGCTGCGCAGGGACATCTCCTGATGAAGGGAGCCTATAAACAGGAGGGGGAACAGCTGTTTATGAGGGTAGATAGTGATAGGACAAGGGGAATGGTTTTAAACTGAGACAGGGGAGGTTTAGGTTGGATATTAGGAGGAAGTTTTTCACACAGAAGGTGATGAGGCACTGGCACAGGTTGCCCGAGGAGGCTGTGGATGCCCCATCCCTGCAGGCATTCAAGGCCAGGCTGGATGTGGCTCTGGGCAGCCTGGGCTGCTGGTTGGTGACCTGCACACAGCAGGGGGTTGGAACTGGGTGAGCATTGAGGTCCTTTGCAACCCAGTCCATTCTATGGTTCTATAATTCTCTGATTCTCTGATCCTATGATTCTATGACAGTGGATTTTGCCCTCTGGATTTGCCCTCCTTTGGAGCTTGGCTCCCAGGGCTGAGCTGGTTGCAGGTGCTCAGTGCATGCAGTTCCCCTCTGTATGCCAACACCACTGACTAAAGGCTTTTTTTTTTTAGGGGAGGGAAAAATGCAGGAAACATTTTTCAACATACGAAGGAAGTAAATGATGCAAAACAAGTAAAAAGGCAATTTAACAAGGCCTTAAGGAAGAGAAGGCTCGAGGCTAAGAAAGAAAGAACTTGGTCAAGGAAAACTTCTAAAATGATCTCTAAAGGAGAAACAAATGGGCTATATCCTTGCTTTGCTACACATGATTTGTAAAGAGGCTGTGAAAAACTGCAGGAATTGGGAAGTGCTTTTGTCACTTTGTTTCTACTTCTTCCTCTGGAAAAAAAAAATGAGGGACTTCATACTAAAAAGATGGTTGCTAAAGAACAAGAAAAAAGCTAACAAGAAAGAAAGGAAAGAGAATTAAGGAAAGAGACAAACGAAATTTTCTGAAAAAGATGATACATAACACCTGTTCTTTGGTTACCATATATTTGACTTCTAAAGCGAAAGGAAACTTAAACATATTTTTGCTGACACTTCAGCACCTCTTCTCCTTGCTTTCAATTAAATAAAATGCAAAATGCTGTTTGAGAGTGCTCGGTTTTCCTACAAAATCATAGAGCATCACGATAAGCAGCTGGCTGCATGGTCTCACAGCTCTCTTTCATGCAGTTTAACAAAGCAGAACGGGGCAAAGCACGATTTTATGAGGCTCTTTACAGCCTGTGTTAATAGAAGGGAGGTAAATTGCAAGGAAAGATAAGTCAGGTGCTATTGCTGCAAGTGTTAGTAGCATGACAAGTGTTAATTGGAGGAGCTATTATGGTGCTTTTCTGAAACAGTATTCTGGATGGAAAAAAAGAAAAGAAAAAAAGATGCAATCATTTGATTATTTGTATATTGAAGCTGAAATTACCTGCCCACAAAACCGCTGATATCATCATAGCTGTCGTAGATTTCCAAGTAATCAGCCATGCAGGCAGTGTCGTCTTCAACATCAAACTCCAGAAACTGGAGATGAATCCGCTGTCCATACTTTACTCTGATATGCCAGTAGCAAATTTGGTCATTTTCATACTCGTTTGGGTAGCCTGGTGACTTAAAAACATGTTTTGAATCCGTGAAGACTCCACCACATTCTTTTCCTAAGAGGAAAATAAAAACATCAGAGTCCAAGCATTCATTTTGGATACGGCAATGATTTAATGCTTTCAGCTCTTCCATGCAGCAGAACCATAGAAAATCACACAGGGACAGCCAGCGTGGTTGCATGTTCCATATATTTCAGTAGTCAGCATTCTCAAGAAATGTCAGTAATTCCTAGCTTTTGCCTTTTAGAAGTAACAGGCACGATCCCAAACTCCCTGAATTCAGTGGAAAAGCTTCCATTGTCTTTTGTGAACTTTGGGCAGGAGTTCAGTGCTTTATGTAAAAGGCACATGGGGTTTCTGACTGTGCTGAACTTTAAGCTTTAGGGCTGTACTTGCAAGTTACTCTGGCATCCAGCTTCATCCTTTCTTCTTCAAAAACCTCTTTCAAGCATGTCTTGCACCAAAAACCACAAAAGAAAACCAAACTACCCCACTTGTAAAGGTCAGCGCTGCCATGCGCTTCATTGTACCCCTGCTACTGGATGTGAGATGGAGGTGTGTTTCAAACAGGCAAGCAGTTCTGCAAGTTCCTCACGTCATTAGCAGCCCATGGAAGAGCTGAGGCTCCCTTCAGCCAGGGCTTTGCCCCCCAGGCTGCTCGCCTCCCACCTGCAGCCAAACCACTGCCAGTCTGTGCAGCAGCTTGAACGCATTTCCTTCTAATGGGAGAGGCTCAGGCTGTCCTCTGAGTGTTGGCAGCTCTGGTTCCCCTTTGTCCTCTAACCAGACACAGCATTTGGAAAGTAACTACCTCTGGTCCCAGAGGAGAAGGCTGACAAAGGAGGGAGTTGGGCTGACATACATGCACTAATAATGAACGCAGTAGCCTAACAGTTTTCTCAGTGTGCTGAACATCTGTGTGTCCCCCACCCCGCAGAGCTATTTGGTTAACAACTGCCCTGCTCGTATAAACAAGCTCAAACCCCACAAGCACAAACAAAATGTGCACAGCTGTACAGACGTCACTGACAACTCCAGTTCCGGCTCTGCCAGCCAGGGCAGAATGCACAGAGCAGGGAAGCCAAGCACAGATAAAGTGAATTTTCCTTTTCTTATTGGGGCTAGCTTGTCCTATCTTTCCAGCTACATGAAGTGACATCAAGATAAAGTGTCACAGTGGTCATGTCAGTACTTCAGTCATTGGAGCAGCAAATGGAGGTGAATGTGGACATGTCTCACATTTGGTGAAGTCCTGCCAGTCATGTTTAAACAGGATGGGGATGGTTGTTCATGAGGGTGGATGGTGATATGACAAGGAGGAATAGTTTTTAAACTGAGACAGGGCAGGTTTAGGTTGGATATTAGAAGGAAGTTTTTCACACACAGGGTGGTGAGGCACTGGAACAGGCTGCCCAAGGAGGCTGTGGATGCCCCATCCCTGCAGGCATTCAAGGCCAGGCTGGATGTGGCTCTGGGCAGCCTGGGCTGCTGGCTGGTGACCTGCACACAGCAGGGGGTTGGAACTGGGTGAGCACTGTGCTCCTTTGCAACCCAGTCCATTCTATCATTCTATAATTCTCTGATTCTATGAAAGGAGCTGCATGCACACCTTTTCCCTCCAGAAACGTGTTTCCAACAAAGAAATAAAATAACTGGAGAATGCAACTGTACTTCTTTCACAGTCTACTTCTTTAGGTACAGATTCCCACTTGTCATCCGGACAGCCAAATCAAGACCTTGAGGTTGCACTGTTCCTGCAACATGCCACAATGCTGCTGAGAAGCCTGACAACTCTTGAGGCTCTTCAATGTAGATAAACACATCCCTACCTTTGCAGTGTTCAATTATAGCTAAGCTTCATGCTCAAATGTCTGGCTAATAATGGAACTCAGCAACTCTCAGAAGTCAGATTTGTGTGAATTATTATTGTTTTAGAATAAAAGCTCTAGCAAACACAAAACAACTAGAATGATTTCTCTAGAATTTATTTTCTGAACACTTCTGTCTGCTTCCAAATTTTCAGCAGCAGTGTTTGCAGCAGGAAGACTGAGAACTTTGAAATCAATACTGATTCTTTATGCCCAAATAGGCAAGTAAAGGGCAATAATCGCTGAGGGTGATTTTAGTTTTCTAATTTATCATCTTGCTGCAGAGGTAAGAAAATACGCTTACAGTACAGGAGTTATATTTCATAGAATCACAGAATGGACTGGGTTGAAAAGGCCCACAGGGATCACATAGTTTCAATCCCCCTGCTATGTGCATGGTCGCCAACCACTAGATATTTTTTGCTTAATCAACTACTACGACCAATTAGCTCAACAACTAAGCACCTGAGATTAGATATTTGTATGAAATTGTAGAGTAAATGTAAATGCCCTTATACAAAAGATGGTCATTTTAGAAGTATTACCTACCTTGTTAATCAAGAAGAGCATATCATTACACTTAGTTTCTGGAGAGGCTTTGGCTAGGCCCAGTTGCCCATGGCAGAGAGTTGTGCTCTGAGCGAGCCATGCCAGCTGCTGGGGACAGCAGAGGGGCTTTGTGCCAGTTCCAAATGAGCCTGGATCAGTGTGTCCCCTTTGAGGACAGTGTATTATTGGTACAGAAGCCAACTCATTCAGAGCCTTCACACTGCCCCAAAGCACTCACAGTCTTCGACCTGAGGAGCAAGGAGCTGTTTCTAAACTCACCGTTTGGGTTGTAGCAGTAGGCATCCCATCTCTCACTTCTGTTGAGGCGAATCCCATAGTCCACAATCCCAGTTCTTCCAAAACCACAGTTGGCTCCAGCTTTTACTATGGGGTAACCAACTCTGCCCTTGGCCATCCAGCCAGCAGCACACACATGGAAACCTGCATCAGGGAGGAAAAGTGGCATCGGTGGGATAAATCAATCCCAGGCAAGAAACTGCTTTTTATTCAAGTCTTACTTGAGGTGATTGATTACTTAAATGTAATTGGCCTAATAAAATTGAACTATGGGAAAGAGCAGTATTTTCAGTTGATAATTTTAAACACAGAATGTGAAATTGCTTTGTGTTGTCCACAGTATGATCATTCGTTCTTCATTTGAAAAGAAAAATCAAATGCAGATGGATGATGCAGTCTCCGGGGTAGCATAATTTAAGTGCTGTACCAGCATTTGTAATCACATTACACACAGAATGAGTTACGTAAGTGAATAAACCGTGTTCTTTGTTTCCCTTTTGAAGTCATGCAAATGTACTAAATCATATCTCATGAAACAATTTGCAGTATTAAGACCTGAGAGTGAATAAAATACTACACATGGAGCTAAGGAAATAAAGTATGTACTTCAAATACTTTAAATACCTAAATAGCCTCAAGTCTTTATTGCTAAACAACTAGATCCTGTTAATGCACTTTGTGGCTGACAACTTAGATACAATAGCCAAAGATTGCAGTGTCTGGTAGAGACCAATTCCATGTTTTCACTGAGACAAACTGGAACATATTTGTGGTGTCCTCAGACTCTGAGCTGCTCAGAAGAGACAAAAGTACCCTTTCTACATGTGTGCTGGTGCTGAGAGCCAGCTTCTGACTCAACAGCGCAGCCTGCGCATTTCTAGAGCAGAGGATATTTTCCATTGTTTTCCTAATTCTCTGAATGAATAATCATTCCTCATCAAGAATCAAAGAGAAATGCAGTTCACCCTGAGCTGGGACACACATCTCAGCTGCTGATAGGGAAATGGCACATCTCGTCCCCTGCAGCCCCATGGCTGTGCTGCACCCCCAGCTCAGTGATGCACAGCACTGTGTGCACATGCCCCAACAGCAGCTCTGTATCAGGGGTAGGAAACTGCATACAACTCGGGCAAACACCCAGAGAGTTTACAAGTCTCTTAGTCCCAGAGTTCATAACATTCATGGAAAGCAAAGACGTTACGAATGAGTGATGGATGTGAAAAGCAAACAGCTGTGATTTTTTTTCCAACCTATTTTTCTCGCTGCCTCCAGCTGCTGATAGGTGGCTAGGTGTCCTCCCTCGTATTCGCAGACTGCTTTTGCTTCTGCATAGGTGAGCTGGTACTTCCCTGAGCGTGACTCCCGGTGGTACACCCCAGCTGCTCGTTCTGTGGGAACAACAACAAAGGATTTCAGCATCACGTCCCAGCTGCCCACTCTTGGGATGCTCTCCTGTCACCCACAGCCTCCCCAGGAAATGCACCTCTGGATGGTGGCCAGATGAAAGATGCTGAGTTAGTAGCTGCGGTGTTTGCAAAGCATCGGGGAAATGCACCTCTCCTGACCCAACAGAATCACAGAATCACAGCATGGCTTGGGTTGGAAGGGTCCTCAAAGACCACAGAACCCCAGAGTGTTTGGGTTGGAAGGGACACTGCTGCCATGGGCTGGCTGCCCAGGGCCCATCTATGGCCTTGGGTGCCTCCAGGGATGGGGCACAACAGCTGAGGGCAGTTCCAGAGCCTCACCACCTGTGGGTGAAGGATTTCCCCTAACAGCCAACCTAAATCTCCCCTCTTTTAGTTTAAAACCATTCCCCCTTGTGCTATCCCTATCTGATCGTGTACAGAGTCGCTCTCCTCCTGCCCATAAGCTCCCCTCAAGCGCTGGAAGGCCGCACTGAGGTCTCCCTGAAGCCGTCCCTTCTCCATGCTGAACCAGCCAAGCTCCCTCGGCCTATCTTCATCAGAGTTTGGTTTTGTTCAGAAGTCTTGAACAATAGAGCTGGTCAGAGCCTGGCAAGGTTCTGAAGAAGGGAAGGTCAGCAAATGCAGGGAAGGCGCCCCACGGGACGGCTCAGCCAGCAGTAGCTATGGGAACCATCGGCCCGTGTCGGCATGGCCGCTCCGTGCATCCTGTCGTTCTGGGCTGCTCTCACAGCATACTGTTGGATACAGCTTCGGTGCTTTTCTAAGATGAATCAGAGCTTTGTTTTTAGTCTCCAGAGAAGTGAAATCAGAGCTACTTGGATAGGAGAGAGGCAGAAATTAAAGGGAATGAAAATGGGAAATAAGAATATCTGAGCTTGTGTCGCGAAGGGCAGAACCAGAACAATTGCTGGCTGACATTTCTGTGGCACAGAAAATTAATGCCCTTTCTTCATCATTTTTTTTGCTTTGGAGGTTCAACGTGAAGCAGCTTTCCAGTGAAGCTCAGAGCTTTTCAGGGCTGCAATGGGTTTTGTAATTGTTTCTTGTTTCGCTTGCCTGACACCATATGTACAGAAATCTGCCTCAGAACCAACAGGCATATTTAATCTGAACACTTTAGATTTTTTTTTATATTTAGCCTAACGTGAGAAAAATGGCTGTCTGTAGTTATTGCTACTCGAGGAGAAAGAAAAAAGAAGCCAAACAAGAAGTGTTTTTACAGTAGTTCCTGGTGCCATGGGAAAAAAAGAATGTCTCTATTAGTGACAGGCTGCAGCTTTGGCTAGGTTGGGATATTTTTAAACAAGAGCACGGTCACCACTGAATTGTGGTTAGCAATGGTGAGATCCCCTTGTAGAGACAGTGACGTTTGGCAGTGCAGCAGTCCCTGGCCTGGTGCCTGGGGAAGTCAGTTGGTGCTGACAGGAGGCTCGGCAGGCTGAGCTGCTTCCTGCAGCATCGCAGGGAGCGTCTCTGGCATGGGCATGGGATAACATGCTCTGGAGAGAAGCCTTTCTAAGTCCAGTCCCAGTGCAAGGAAGAGTCAAAATACCTGACAGCTGGGTGATCATAGACACAGGATGGCCTGGGTTGCAAAGGAGCACAGTGCTCATCCAGTTCCAGCCCCCTGCTGTGTTCAGGTCACCAACCAGCAGCCCAGGCTGCCCAGAGCCACATCCAGCCTGGCCTTGAATGCCTCCAAGGATTGGATGATGGTATGTTATTTATTAAAAAAAAAATCTTATTTAAATTAAAAAATCATTTGTAGGAGGTTTCCTTTTTCATTCTTTAAATAGGCTGTCATGTCTAACATGATAAGCCCAGGACTCTTTCTTTACGGCGCGATTGTGTTGAATTCAGCACGTATGAACTGGAAGTTTGAGTAATGCAGAAAGCAGTGCAGCACTCAGCCCTGCTGCACTCTCCAAGGACAGCCTGGAAAGGCAATCAGTGATCACTGCAGCTCATAGGTGAGCGAAGTGGAAGGTGAATTGAATTGCACTGACAGTGAGTTGAAACCATGGGATTTGACCCTTGGGTTAGCTGAGCTGGCTGCCTACACCAGTCAAGGAGCAAGAGGCAGACCAATCTTAAGGCCTGCTGCCTCTACAAGAGGTGCAACAAGAGCGGTCCGAAAACTTTGGGCAGAGTGGGTGCTGGCATAGGGGCCCATGGAGCCACCTGGGCACCCTGCTTCTCTGCTGGGTGTGACACCAGGGACCTGGGGAGAACCACCAGCAGTTGGGATGCACCACTATTGGAGCTGATGGTAAAACCTTTGCACTGTGAGCTATTCTGACTATTCCTCCTGACAGCAATGTTTTCAACGCTAATCCTTCGAAAGGCATCTGCCTCCATTTGTTGCTGCTAAAACATCAGCATGGACAGGCATCCCATTTTTCAGAATACTGCTGGAAAGCTCTGCTTCTTCACTGTTTCTGCAAGTGCTGCTCCACCGACAGCAGCACCCGCAGTGCCTGGGTGGGTGGTGGGATCCTGCTGGGAGCAATCACCCATCTCTTTGCTACTCCTCTGGAACAAGATAATAGTAGCCTTTGGGAAGATGGACCACACACGTGTACTCCACCAAGCCCTCACAGCTTCTGCTGGCTCGGTGTGTCACGGTTTAATCTGACAGTATTAACTAACAGTATATCCTAATTAACTGCTCAGATCTCTCAGGCATTTTTTCCTCTCTGTTAATTATATTAGGGAATGTGCAGAAAGATAAGTTACATCAGCAAAACCTCACCTAGGTCAAAGCATTGTACTTATTAACACCTTTAAAACACTAATTAAATACATGTACATTATACATTATATGCATACATATCTACACAAAGCTAGATCTGAATATACACACACAGAAACTATTATTAGTTTTCATGGGGGCAATCTCATGATTGTGCAGATAAGCATACAAGCATAAGCCTACCCTAAATGTGCCCTGTTCCTACACTGGTGTGCCTGGGCCTCAGCTGGGCATCAACCCAATAGGTGGGGATTCTATTGGATACTGGGAAACATCTCTTCCCCAAAGAGCAGTCAGGCAGTGGCACAGTTGCCCAGGGAGAGGGGGGGTCACCATCCTGGGGGTGTCCCAGAGCCATGGGGATGTGGCACTGAGGGATGTGGGCAGTGGGCATGGGGGGCTGGGGATCCAAGAGATCTTTTCCAACTGTAACGATTCTCTGATTCTCCAATTCTGCCTGAAGGCTGCTGTCCTTACTTGACTTGTCTGAAATCTTTCCCTGCTCAACACAGAATTTCCAGCTCACCTTGCTCTTTATTTGCCTGAAAACCAGTTTACTGGGAGTGTTCTATCCATTCATTTTTCTTCTTTGCTTCTTACACAAAAGATCACAGGTTACACTGCTGATGGGATGTGTTTCTTCCAGCTCATATTTCTTAGAGGCTCTCCTTGAGGTCCAGAAGCAGCGGGATTTGGCAAGGACAGTGACCCTCTGCTCACCCACAGCAGTTGGTAAGAATGAACCACAGCCAACCTCTTCTGCACAAACACAGCAAGTATGGGACTTGGCCTAACAAAGTGCCCTCAATATGCATGAAACTCCTAAGGTGAAAACAAAATATTTAACTTCAAGTGGAGGACGGCCATGCAGTCTGTGGCACAAGGTGACACTCAAGAGAATGGGGCAGCTATGGCCCCTGAAACTCCCCAATACATTCTGTGAGCAGGGTGAAACTGTGGATACGGGTGAGGAAGAGCTGCCCTTGGAAACCTTCTTGCTGGCACTTGAATGAGTGTATGATACATCTGAACAAGACTGCTCCACTCCTCTCATTGGTTTACAGTAAGTTTTGGCTATAACATGCTTGTTTCAAAAATGAGCAACAATAAAATTCCGTGCACACAAGAAAGACATTAGCAGGATGGCAATGCAATCAGCTCCAGAAGGACTCCGTGTTTACTGAGAAAACAAAAGATCTTTTGTAGCACACAGAAAAAAAGGTACAAGACGTGAGCAGTTCTACACTAACCTTTGCAGAAGATTTGACATTTGGTTACTGGCTTGCTGAAGAGAGGTGAAATGGAAACCTCCCTCATTTTCTCTCTGGTCTCAATTATGCTTTATCAGAAAGAGATAAGCAAGGCTCAGCAGCCACTGCACATTCCTATTTAGCAGGAGGTTCTTGCTGTAATGCTTGGCTGTAGTTAACATGAGATTACGGTTACTCGTCTTGTTCAAATTATTTCTTTTTTTAATGAAAAGATGCGTTAATTGGATGGCTATGAATGTGCCCAATTTTTCTTCACTTGTATGCAATTTCACTGAATTCCATTGGTAATTTAACTGCATTTTGGGTTTTATTTGAATATTTTCTATTACATTAATTAGAATAGATAGTGTGTTTTTAAAGGAGATTCAATGGAACATAGAATGGAAAGCAAAGTGGTTATTCCAAAGAGCACACTGTGCTTCCAGATTTTGTGTCTCTTTCTTTAGAGCAAGTTGTCAGTTTTAACTCTTATCTTTGATTTTTATTTACTCTCATTGAAAATGCTAAGGTGTAGCAATACAACGTCTTAATTCCTGTTAGCTCTCTATTCCTTCATTTTAAAGATTTAGGAGACTTTCTCTTCTGACTGACTTCAATACCTACCAGGTAAAGCTACTTAGCTGATGGCTGTTATCACCAGTTCATGTTGCAGAAGCCCTGCCATCCACACCCAGCATGGCACTGGTTGCAGCAGTCACGTAGATATGCCAGTATTTGCAAAGAAAACACCCAGGACCCACTCTCTGGCTCTGATTGTAAGTGGTATGGTGTGTGCTGAACTCTTCCCTGTGTCCAGCCTAGGATGCAAGCTTTGCTTCTTCCACAGAGCAGCACTGGAAGAGCAGCTCCTCTGTAAGCTGCTGAGCTGTCCTCACCCACCTGAGCACCCTGAGCAGCTACGGGACACAGGGGCATGTTTCAAGTTCAGAAGGAGAGGTACATTAAAATTGTACATTAAAAATGTACAGCCATATGGAAAACAGTATAGATGGCTTCTCCTTCGTGTTCCCTTTAGTTTACATGATCCTCTGAGACTGCAGCCACGTGGTTGCTGCACCAGCTATGAATGTGGCTCAGTCCCACGTGAAACATCTGAGCATACAGAAACAAGGACTGCCTGCAGGAATTCCTTAAATCCTTAAAGAAATATGCAGCATCTTAGACAGGATGAAAGAGTTTGTAGAAATTTGTCTATCAAGCAGAGCACTGAGTGCATGTATTTCTTTTGGCACATTTTATGGGACTGTATTTTGAATGTTTTTCTATTGTACTGGATAATTATGAAGCCTATAAAAAAAAAACCTCTGAGAGCCATTTAAACTCACTTGAGATATAAGAAACTATTCCCACAGCATTTTCTACAGTCCTTTTGCAATCTCCTCTCCTCTGTTTAATGATGTGAACAGACCAATGGCCAAAACATATACATTTCTCCTCTTCCCTAGAAACCTAGGAAATATATTGATATTATTTCCAGACCATTTAGTTTCATATGGAGAACCCCAGGCATTTGAAATATGTTCATGCAGAAAATAATTCATTCCTTTGGCATGAGTTTCTTTTCACACACATTTTCCTTCATTAGAAGCAAACTACTATTTAACACTCTTTTCGCTTCACCTCATGCTCTAGGAAAACACATTCAGATGAAGTATTCCATAGCTATTTTTCCCTGCATTTCAGAGCAACAATAAAGCCAGCAAGCTCTTAAGTACAAATCTTACAGTCGTTACTCATTTAACACGACGGCCGATTTCAGTGCAGGATTTTGCTTACATGAATGCCTGGCTCACTTTTGTACCTCTAAGTGTTTATTTTTATACTGTTCCACAAACACAGGGACTCTGGCAATAAAACAGCTGTGATTAGATTATTTCTTACCTAGCCAAATAGAGTTATGCAGCACTCCATCCTTGAATCCCCATGCTTGAGCTTCGTCCCACAGCAGGGCAGAGAAGAAAATTAGTGCAATCATCTCTTCCGAGCTGCTAGGCTGTAAATATTCCCTGTTAAAACACTCAGGGTAACCTCCTCTAGCAGCTGGCTAGATCCTATTGGAACATCTGGTAGCCAGATCTTAAATAGTGCTTTCAGCTGTGAGGTCAGCAAGCCTGCTCCAATTGTGCTTGCTGTAGTATTATTGCACAATTAAATGTGATGTCTGCAGTCATCCATGTGACTCACTTTTGGCTCTCCTCATTCCCAGTGTGTCCAAGAAACCATTCTACCCCTAACTACTGCAGCACACATGAATGCTTTTCAAGCCAAAGTCTGTTCATTCTTCAGCACTCAGTCTTCAAATTCCACAGAACAATAAAACTAATAACTATTCTATCTGCTCCCAGTGTTTCCAGTCACACCATTTACAAGACCGAAGAGAATCACACGTATTGATCCTCATTTAATTTTTTTTTTTTTGCATTTATTATATGGATTTAATTTCACAGTGCCCTGATCAATTAAAAAAAAAAAAGTCAGGAGAATATATTTAATTGGATATTTGAATCAATTCCCCAACGTGGAATTTGTAATTGCAAGTTAAACTCCCAGATCAGCATAAAACTATAAGCGTCAAAAACAGATGCTCTTTGTTCTGCAAGTGGGAAATAAAACTAAAATCTTCCCCTTCAAACCACGGTTTAAAAACTGATTCATAGCCTGACAGCCGTCTGCCTGTGTTCCCTTCTGGCCAGACATGAATAGTGCAGCTGCTCCTGGTGGATGAGTGGGAGAGCAGAAAGGAGGAAAGATAAGCGTGTGGAAAATGGTCTGGTGCCTCACAGCCCTGAGCAGCCATTGGAGGACTCTGCTCTCCGGATCTGGTAAAGCTCATAACTTGGGTGTCGGGAGCTGTGCTCGTGGCCATGAGGACAATCGAGTTAAAATAAATGAAAAACAGAAATCAAAAGGAAAGGGTGGAGGACTCTGTGCCTACTCAGAAATATTTTACATAGATGACTGCTGTGCCAAAGAGGAAGATATTCTTCATCACTCTGATCTTATATAAAGAAATGAATGCTCATCTGAACTGTATGCACACACACACACATATCTTCTTCCCACCTACAACTCTGGCAGATGCTCAAGAGGAGAGCTGTGGGGAAGGGGAGCTGAGGGAGAGCCTTTCTTCCACCGAAACAAGAATGTCTAGACTTGTCACTCTTCTGCACTTACTGATGAGAGCAAACAAGTGCTCCTAATAAAAACAGAGGTCAGGAATTGGAACAGGCCTCCCAGGGAAGTGAGATGAAGAGCCCCCATCCCTGGCAGGTGTTCAAGAACTGTGAGGATGTGGTACTGAGGAATGTGGGCAGTGGGCATGGTGGGGGAGGGGTGGGCTTGGGGATCCTAGAGGTCTTTCCTACCTTAATGATTCTATGACTTCATCTAAATGTCCATTCTTGTTGTGCATATCTATGCCTGATCCATTCGAGTCTGAACCCTCAGTGTGGGTTCTTCCAGCTTTAATGTGCAGTAGGAAAGAGCCCAAGCTATTTGAATGAGACCTAGTTCAGAATTATTCTCTGACAGTATGTTGATAACTGTCTGTTTTCTAACCATTGATATCAAAGTTGTTTATCTGAAGTTACCTGGATATGAATTGTGAAGATGGCTGTATTACCTTTTTGGGTGCTGGTGAGGGGAGGAGGCAGTGCTGAGCACGTTGCTCTGCAGTATCCATTTCTCATTAACTGAAGGAGACTGGCAGTGAATCTTTGCTTGTTTGCAGCTGTGATGTATTTCTGATATCTTCTGGGGACCTGAGAGTAATAAAGAGGCATAAGGAAAGGAAACAAAATCAAAGGAAAATGAAAATTCAACAGCAATTTCACACGTTGCTAATATAAACAAATTACTGGATCAGATAAAGAGAACCCTTAGACCTAGAATTTCTCCTTCTGAAATAAATATAACGTGGATGTCTTTTTCTGCCCTGGCCACCTTTCCTCTCTGCCATCCCATTCAAATTCCTCTGGATGATGCTGCAACGTGAGCTGATAGCTTAATGACCCTCTATCAGAGCCAGATGTCTCTGCTGCAGGCAACTCTGTTGCGGCCATCGATGCCAATCCCACAAGACCACAGCAATCTGTATAAAGTGAGTAACTTGTAAAAGCAACGGGTACGTACCAGCTTGGAGATGATTTGCAATAGACTAGCATGGTGAAATCCTTGATGAAGACACTTACACAACAATCCATTTAAAAAAAAAATTATGTATTTTTTACTCAAGTAGACTATTAGTGGCGAAAAGCCTCAGTTACAAAAAATAACTTGGAAATCAAAGGACATAAAGTGACAAACAGTTCTGGCAGTGAGAGAGTCTGAAGCATCTCTTTTGATTGATACAGGGTCTAATGTTTGAATGAGTGCACCTCCCTGGAGGAACCAGGCTATCTGCTAATGAGCCCAAAGCAATTCAATGCCTTGCAGATCATAGGATCACAACATAACTGAGGCTATAAGGCTCCACAAGAAGCCAAGAGTCTCAAGTCAGAATTCAGTTGTCCATTGAATATCCTCAAATGAATGAAACCCAATGGTGTTGGAAGGGAACAGAAGTTCTGCAGGTTCAGTACGTGTTCCACAGTGGTGAGCAATTGGGCATAGGGAGTATTTTGTACCTGAGGAAACAACCTAAAGTTTGCCATCATGTTAACATTAAACATACATCCCGATCCAGCCTATGTGTAAGTCTGTGCACCTCACAGCGTTGACAAAGTACATCTGGCTCCCAAGTGAGCTGCAAAGGAAAGTTTTCATCTGCAAATCCTAGCAGACCCTCTCACCAACAAAAAGAGATTCCACAGCTGTACGTGGGCACTTCGAGACATTCATCTGACAGTGTTTTCTTAAGCTTTCTTCCAAGTTTTCCACATTTAAATATATCCCAGACAAATCTTACATAAATCTGGGGTGGGGATGGGGAACCTTCCTTAACTCCTTCCGTGCATACATATGTGAAGAAATACTGTTTGAAAGTTATTCTGTGGTTTTTGCTGGTGTATGAAGTGAAGATCTAACTTGGTAATTCCCAAGCTGTGGTCTGAAACCCGGTATGGCACAAAGCTGATTGCAGTAAAATGGAGACTAAACAATCCTGTGGTGTGATGGGGGAACTGCTGGGGATGGAGGAATTTAAAAAGCAAAGGATCAGCAATGTATGTGGGTCACAACTCTCTTTTGCATTCCTTTAAATATTAAGCACGTAAACTTCTTCATTTTCCTCCTGCTTTATAAAAACAGTGAAGATATTCGGAGCTTCTGTTCTCTAAGCTCTCTAAGATCTATTAGTGACATAGAATATATTGCAGCTATAATGTTTAGAGGTTTGAGAATGATATCGTGAATGCTGTATTTAAATGGAAAGGTGTGCAGTTAGAGCCTGTTAACTGGGAGGTCTTCTGTTAGAAACCAGAATGAGAAAAAAATTACTTCATGGAATGTGCAGGAAAAAGGAGTATAGGGATAAAGACAGTGAAAAATTAACGTTAACCTTTCCTTACAAGAGGAGTTGCTGTGAAAGGGGGAAGTGTGACAGCACTGACCGAATTCACATGGTGGGAAACCTGAGTGTAGAAGAGCTATTTAACCTGTGGAAAGGAAAAGGTCAGCTCAACAACAGCACCACCCCTTACTATTGCTTTAACACAGACTGAAAGGCTAAACTCAGATTTGAACCATACAAGCAGACAACTTGTAGAACAATCAAACTACTTATGGTTAACAAACACCTAATTTGTCCTGAGATGATGCTCGAGCCCTTGGAACTTACGCCCTTTGAAGGAAGTCCACTTCCCATTCTATCTTGTTTATACCTCATTCTGTACATATTTTAAAATCTTTTTTAAAACTCATTTTTTGTTAATGAGCTGAGCCGTAGAGGTACAAGTGGAAGGATTAGCCCACCCTCAAGGAACTCCTTGGAGACAGTAGGTCATGAGATTCCAAGCATCTGCCACACAGCACAGACAGCCACAGCTATTCCTGACAGATACAAGAGCAGTCTGCTCTTCTGAGCCTCCAGTGGTGGCAGTTCCACAGCCCCCTGCTGCTCACCCCTCCATACGTCTTCCTTAACCAAAACATCTTTCCCTAACACAAGTCTTTCCTGCTGCAGTTGTAGCCTATTACTTCTTTTTGCTCCAGCAGACAAAAGGAACGGATCCTTTACCGCCTCTCCACAGCAGGAAAGTTCTGTTATGTCTGTTACCACATCTCGCTTCCTTACAAATAAACAGGCTGCTCTTTTCATCTTTCCTGGAGCCACACTTCCTAGACGCTCAGCCATTCCTGTTTCTCTCTCCCGTGCCCTTTCCAGGTGGCTTGCATCTTCTGTGAGGTGTCAGGCCAGAACTAAACATAGCTCCCCAACAAAAGGCTCCATGCAATCACGTGGTGATTGTCCAGATGACATTTGGGTTTGTGCAGAATCCCAGCTTGACGTTTGCTGTCAGTGAGATTTCATTTACAAATGACCACGTTTTAAACAGTAAGCCAGATTTTAAATGACATACTTAAGGTACCTAATTACAATCAACTGCTTCAAGTATGAAAACAAATCCAAAACAAAAGAACCCGATGGGATTTGGTGGATCTACCTGAATATACCTAGTTATTTTTCCAACCTCTCTTCTCCTGAATGCTTTCTGCTTTAGCAGAAGCTGCCAAGTATTACAGAAATGGTGCATTGTGGAACAACGATGATGAAAGCCTTACATTTTTGTTCTGAATTACTGAGAATCTCACTTTCCAATGAATTTACAGAACATGTTTTCCAAATCGTCACACATTTACTGAAGTAATAGAAAAGATAAAAGGAAACTCGAACCCAATTCCTAACTCCTTTGGTCCTCTACATGCTTCAGGTGATGGCATTTTAGGAGAATTTTATAATGAAACAACTTCTTACGATTCTACTATTTACTGTCATGCTGTTAATATTTTAGAGATGTATTGTGTGTTATAACTAACTACTTTAAAACTTCCTCTCCTTTGTTTCCTAGTCTAATTCTCATCAAAAT